GAATGGATAAAGATATGGTATATACCACATTCAATATATACATATACATATTGTATATTCATACACAGTATGGTACATATACCATGGAATATTAGTCAAAATAAAGAATGAAATAATGTCATTTGCAGTAACATGGATGGACCTAGAGATTATCACACTAAGCAAAATAAGTCTCCATGTGGTTGCAAAGAGTCAGGCATGACTAAGCAACTATCACTCACTCAAAGTCAGAAAGACAAAGACAGATACCATATGATATTACTTATATGTGGAATCTAAAATATGATACAAATGAACATACCTATGAAACAGACTCACAGACAGAGAAAAGACTTGTGGTTGCAAGGGGGAGGGGGAGTAGGGGAGGGAAGGATTGAGAGTTTGGGATAAGCAGATGCAAACTATTATATATAGGATAAACAGCAAGCTCCCACTGTACAGCACAAGGAACTATATTTAATATCCTGTGATAAACCATAATGAAGAATAATGTGAAAAAGAGTTTACCTATGTATAACTGAGTTAATTTGCTGTACAACTGTGCAGCAGAAATTAATACAACACTGTAAGCCAACTATACTTCAATTAGGGGGAAAAAAAAAGCAGCTCACATTCGAGTGGTTGTTTAACCCAGATAAACTTATTCTCACCTCATTGCCCACCAGGAGGAAATGACCCTACTTTCCAGATGAGGAAACTGAGGCCTCTGAGCTGAGCCTGGCCTGAGCCAGTGGGTAGAGCCTGGATTCCCTTTGATGGTGCCATCCTCCTCCAGGAAGCCCTCCCTGGTGGCCCCCGACTCCACAGGACTGCGATCCTTTAGCTGCTGCTTATAAAGGCGAGGTAACCATGCTTTGTGGGTGCTCTCACCCCCCCGTGACCCTCTTTTCCAAGGCTGAGAGACAGAAAGCAATGCTCCCAGGGTCACTGTGGCAGGCCTGGCAATGGTTCTATGTTGATGGGGGGGGGCAACCCCTCCACCAATGCCTGGCCCTGCTCCGAGGCAAGGGTGTGCTCCCCCCAGGGACCTCAGGCCGGCCCTCCTCCCCCTCCCACAGCAGGCCAAGGAGCTGATTGGCCCACAATACGGCCTCCAGCCACCTGCTGCTGTCTGTCTGGGGCCACCCTCTCCGCGCTCCATGCTGTCTACCAGGCCCAGCGTGGCGACTGTGGGTAAGAGGGGCACAAGGAGGCCTGGGAAGAGGTGGGGGGGTCCCTAGGACCTGGGAGGGCATCCCTGAGGTCCACAGGGGTGTCCCTGACTCCTGTGGCTGCCCCCACGCATCCCTAGAGGCACTCGCCACCCATAGGTCTCCTCCCCCACCGACTACTCTGGGCTCAGGAAAGGGTCCCCTTTCTGCACAGGGATGGGTCACACTGACACTGATGCCAGGGACACCGGGGATTCCAAAAAACAGGGCCGTGGGAGCCAACAGATGGGGTTTGGCTCCAGTTCTGCACAACCTCTGGCCCACAGCTCCACCTTCAGCCTGTTTCTTCATCTGCCCTATGGGATCAGAGGCAGCATAGAGGAGGCAGGGAGAGGCAGGGACCCCAGGGTTGGGGGTGGGAGGCCTGGCACCCCCTGCCCCTGCCTGTCATGGCCAGAGTCAGGCTGGTCCTAGCTGCTGGGGCTTGAGTGCCAACACCCACGGGGTCCTGAAGGAGGCTAGGTGCCAGGAATGAAGGGTAAGGATGACCCAGAGGGAGACCCCAGGGGGGCAAGGCCTAGGAGGGGCTGGGCCCCTAGCTGGCCTGCCCTGCTGGCCTTGGGCACTGGATAAAAATAGTCCCTGGTCTCAGAGAACATGAGCTGACCCTGGGGCCAAGGGTTCCGGCTTGGGCTCTGTGCTCACGTCTGTGTGACCATGGGTAGGACCCAGCCTGCTCTGGGCTCCCGCGTTCTCTGCTGTGTGCAGAGGGATATTGGAGCCCATAGAGGCTAGCCTATCCAGCCAGGGTGGTGGTATGGAGAGACAAAGAGCTCCCTTCTCCAAGAGGCAAGCCCATAGCAGGGGCTCAGGCTGCCTCTTCCGCCTTGCCCTTAGCCTGACTCTGGGCCTGCGGCTCTCAGCGGTCCCCATGGCAACCAGGGCCTTGGAGGAGCTGGACGGAGGCCTGGGCAGCTGCCAAATGGATGAGGACCTCTCTGCACTGGCTGACCCTTGTCCTGGCCGGCCCCAGGAGGACAGTGCGCAAGGTACCAGAGAAGGTGCTGGGGGAGGAAGCCCATGCCCCCATCCTCCTTCTGAGTCCGGTGGCCCACCTTCAGAAACCAGGACTTGGACTTCCACACTGGACTGGCTTAAACCATGCTCCTTGTTTCCAACCTCTGTGCCCATTAGTGTCCCGGGTGGTGGGGAGGGGGGTTGTAAAGATCCCAGAAAACACAGGTGCTGGGCCACACAGGTCAGGGTTTGGATCCTGGCTTGCCAGTGACCTGCTGTGTGCTTTTGTGCAAAGCTGTCTCTGAGTCTGTCTACTTTTTAACCTGTAAACTGGAAGCTCTCCTGTCCCCAGCCCCTCACCCAGCAGGACCCAATAGAAAGTGGGATCTGGGGGTCCCCACGACTTTGACTCTCCCCTCTTTTTCCACCAACAGCTACATCCAGGTTGGCTGACTCCAGCAGCCAGTCCCACGTGAGTAGCAGGGGGGGGGGGGGGGGGTGGTCTTCCTTCTGGGTTTCAGCCCAAGGTGCTCCTGGAGTAGGGGAGGTACTGGCTTAAGAGGGTGGGTTTCTGCAGCCCCTGGGAAGGCTTGATCTCCCTTAGAGGGAACACCCAGGATGACACATGTCCCCACAGGATTCTCAGGAGCGAGTGACTGAGGGCAGCCCCACAGGCAGTGTGGACACCAAGCCCAAGAAGACAGAAAAGGAGCCTGTGTCCAAAGTGACCTCAGGAACCGGGAAGGAGAGGCTGAAAGCAGGAGCAAGTGGGTTTGCAGGAGGCAGGGGTGAGGTGGGGGGATGGGTATGGACCAGCATGGGAGGGGAGGGTGGGTCCTTGGATCTGGGCAGCAGGAAGATAGCCACATGGGGCTCCTGACTGAGTGGTTTCCTGGCTGTAACTGAAAGGGCTGTGAGTCTCCTCTAATTCATGATAACACCAGCTTAGCTGCCACTAAGCTTCAGCTAATTATCTTCTGGAAAATTCCCTGCATCCCAGTGAAGCTGCCAAGCCGGCAGGGCTTAGTTTCTCAGCCTAAGGCCGCACAGCCGGGCAGAGCAGAGCTGACTTTAGCCGCAGGTCTGCCCCTCGCTGCCCTAGATCCCAGCCAGCACTTGCTCCTGCAGCCCCCCGGAGCCCCGCACGGAAGAAGGCGCAGACCGCACCGCCCCAGCAGCCGCCGCCGCCGCCGCCCCCGGCCCTGAGCGAGCAGCTGCCCTGGGGAGACTTGACGCTCAACAAGTGCCTGGTGCTGGCCTCGCTAGTGGCGCTGCTAGGCTCCGCCTTCCAGCTGTGCCGCGGTGAGCCTCACACTTGGCCACTCCTTCCCGGAAGCACGGACACGCCACGGGGCGGGTCTGTGCGCCCGCACCCTAGGCGGTTCGCGCGCCCCCTGGATCTTGTGAGGGGTTCCTGGCGGCCCCCTGCACTTCTTGCTGGGTAGCGGACCTTCTGCACCCCCATGGTCCCGTCGGAGTCCCTCTATCCAGGACCGGCTCTGAGACCCCTCCAACCCCCCTTTCCAACAAACCTTACGGGGAACTGCCTCCTCCCCCACCCCAGTAGGGACCTTGATGCACCTGCCTCCCCAGTGAACCGGCCCTCACCACCCCACACCCTGGGCCTCGCATGCCCAGGAAGGGCCATGTGCACCCCCGTTTCAGAGTGTGGCTTCTGTGTGTCTCGGTGCTCCCATGGCCCTCAGAGAAATGGGAGCATCCTGGCACACTCTGAATGAGGGAGGTTTGAAGAGAAGCAGCAGTGGAGACTTGGAACCCCTTCCTGGGGCTGGAAGGGAGCCAGCCCAGCCTCAGTGAACCCGGGTGGAGACGGCTGGGTCCCCTTGCCTGTCCCCAGGAGAGGGGGCTCTAGGGGATGGATGGTGTGCTGTGGTTCTCACTCCCGACTCTTGCCCCAGGCTGACTCGCATCCCCTCTTGTCCCCTCCCAGAGACTGTGGCTGGGGATGCAGAAGCCCCTGCACCTGTCCCTGAGTTGTGGGTCTCATCAAGCTCGTCACCCAAGGGGCCAGCGTCACCCCTGGTAAGCTCTTCCTCAGTGGGCTCCTCACTGGGGGGAGGGGCTTGAGCCATGGAATTGTGGCTGATCCCACCACCCTGCACTTGTCTGCATAACAGCCAAAGCCTGAGGCCTGGGCTCCCCTAGTGAGGCAGCCCGAGCCCCCCTCGAAGGTAGAGGAAAGGGTCCAGATTCCTAGGAGCGGAGAGGCTGCAGAGAAGGACGAATGGGAGTCTGGAGAAGCCGCTGATGAGGAGCATGCGCCCCTCGCAGGCCGAGGGCCCAAGGAGAGGGTGAAGAAGGAGAGGCCCTGGAAGGAGAGGCCACGAAAAGAGGAGAAGCCACGTGGTGCCAGGGAGCCCCGCAGAGCCCTACCGCGACGCTGGGAGGCCCGTGAAGGGGGCCATCGACCTTGGAGGCGAGACTCTGGAGCCCCTGAGGATAGGAAGAGGCAGGCCTGGGTCTCCCCGCGGCGCCCCAACAAGGAGGACCGGCCTCCGGGCCGCCAGAAGCGCCGTGCCGGCAAAGGCCGGGACTGAGCGAGACCGGGGTCGTGCGCGTGAGTTTCTGAATATCTGCTCTAGGGCCCCGCGGTTCCAGCTAAATAAAGCAAGTGCTGTGGCCCCCTCATCGTCTATTCCTTCGCACCAGGACCCCAGAACCTGCCCGGGGCCTGCGTGAGGCGGATAAGAAGCTTTGGGTGGGGGGTGGAGGGAGGACGGAGGGGCAAGGGGGCAGCGGGTGAAGACGGGGAGAACTGTGGGAAGGAGGCCTTCGTCTGTCCCCAAACATGCACAGGCACCCCAACCGCGTGCCTTCCCGTCTTTATTGGGGCGATGACGGGGTCCGAATAAATACGGGCCGGGGCGGCACAAGGAGAACGGCGCGAGGTCACCGGCAGCCGCACTCGGTGGCCACCATGTTCGGGACGTGGTGCGCGCTGATGCGCTCCTCGGACAGGCTGATGAGGAGCTTGCCGGTGTAGGCTGTGGGCACACAGCAGGGCGGGCGCGCCAGGGCGGCGCCGCGAGCCTGCATCTTCAGCAGCAGCACCACGTGGTTGCCGTAGCGCGGGTTGCGGTCCGACTGAGGCCAGCCGCAGGCGCCCTGGCAGTTGTTGGCCTGATATGTCTCCGGGATGAGCACCGAGCGCTCGGCCCGCAGGTCTACGCTCAGCTCGCGCAGAGCGCACGGCCCGTCTGCAGCCGCGGCCCCGGCGCTGCGCTGCGCTCGTGCAGAGCCGCTCCGCTCCCGCCCGCGCCACTCAGCGCGCAGGCCCTGCAGCGCCTTGAGCAGCAGCAGCGCGCGCAGCGGGCCGCCGGGGCCATCTGGTTTTCCCGGGCACAGTGCCAGCAGGCGCGCCAGCAGCGGGGGGGCGGCGGGAGGCAGCCCCGGGAGGTCGCGCAGCTCTGCGGCCGCCGCCTGAAGCTCGGCAGCCACCCGGCGAGCTAGTCCCGCGGCCCACAGAGGGGACTTGGGACCTTGTGGCGTTGCGGGGACCCCGGTGTTGGCTGCCGTTGGCGGCAGCAGCAGCAGCAGCGGCTCCTCACCATCCAGTAGGCGCTCCAGGGCCGCGGGGTCCGACAGGTTGACCTGGCCCTGCGGGAAACCAGCCAGTGCGCCCGGGTCCAAGGCCAGTCGTGGTGGCAAGGCTCGGGCCGGGGGTCCCCGCAGCGCGCGCACCAGGCGCGTGAGCGTCTCCAGGAAGGGATCAGCGCTGGGCTGTGCCTCCTCTGGTTCCGGGGAAGGCCTGGACAGCAGAGTCGGGGGTCGTGAGGGCGCAAGGCTGCGGCGCCCACACTTCCCGCATCCCCAGGTCTGGGCCTGCGCGCACCTGGGCTGCGGGAAGGGCACCAAGTCCAGCCGACCCTGCGCGGGCATCGGCGCCGACGGCCGCGCCGGCGCCGACGGCCGCGCTGGGAGCAAGAGCAACAGGGCCGGGGTCTTTCGTGTGAAGCAGCGGGAGTCCGCACCGAACATCAGCGCCTGCAGCTGGGCAGTGCTCAGGGGCGCACCTGAGGGGAGGCGCGTGCGCCGTGCAGTTCAGCGGCTGGGGGTGGGGTGGGGTCAGCGGGTCGAGGGCAGCCACCCGGTCGGGTCCCTGTCCAGGCAAGGCCTACCATTTCCACGGCGCCGCAGGGTCAGGGCTAGCCCAGGCCGGCGCCAGGCCCCCTCCGGCCGGTCCACAACCAAAGCCAGGAAGTCTGAGTCCGCAGTCAGGCAGAGGCTCTGCGGGCGGACACGGGGGCTTCAGCCAGGTTGAGGGGCGGGGGTATGTATGCCAACCTTGCTCTGCCTGCTGCCCTTAACATCCCTTCAAGGTCTAGCCTGAACACTTGTGGCCTTTCTGTGAGGCCAAGTTAAAAACAACACAAACCCAAAACCATAATCCCTCCCTTGCTCTGTGGCAGGGGGGTGGGGGCTGTGGGGGGATGTCCTGGGGGCCAGAGAGAGCCACATTCCACTCCCTGGTACCTGGGCACCAGGTAGCCCAGCGCCGGTGACAGTGACCTCCAGGCCAGGCCCTGGGTACAACACCAGCAGCGCCAGCTCTGGGGGGCTGGCTCCTCCAGGTGGAGGCTCCTGGAACCTCAGCAAGGGTGTCGGCTCCCACGTCACTGCAGCCAGGACAAGGGAAGGGAGACAGACACCTGAGCCATGGAAGCCTGAGCCCCTCCCCCAAACCTGTCCCCTCCATAGGAGGGAGACCCCACCCCAACCGAAGCCTGGGGGAACCTGGTGGGAGAGGTTTGATGCTGGCTCCTGGCTTCCCTAGGACAGGAGTGGCCTAAAAGTGATGGATAGGGTGGGCGGTGCAGCTGCCACCTGTGTCTCCTGAGCCCTTGGGGGCTCTAGGCCTAGAGAGCTCCTGGGGGATTCCTGGTAGTGGGTCTGAGGACAGTGGCCCTTGGAACAGGAACCTCTTGCTACCCAGTATGGAGGGAGAGGCACTCCTCTGCTGGACAATCAGGCTGCACTGAACTGCCTCCTTCCTCCACCCCCAACCGTGTAGCTCCCAGGTAGGTGAACAAGGTGTTAGCCCCACACCCCCCTCCGCCAGGCACTGCATGGGCAGAGGGGTGGCTGGGAGCTGGAGAACTTCTGGCCCCAGACAGGCAAAGATACAGGGACCCACCTCTCTGGCTGTTAGCCTCCACTTCCTGAGACTGGGGATGGGTCTGGGCTGGGGGCTCTGCAATCCCCTGGTCTTGGGAGGAGGGCACGAGAGCCTGGCGTCCCACCCCAGTCCCGACATGACACATACCTTCCTCCAGGTGCAGGACCACCAGCCACCGCCCCCCTGGCTCCCCCAGCCACGCCTGCAGCTGCTGCAGGTGGGGCAGCGCAGGCTGCCCGTCGCCAGTGGGGCACACAGCAAAGGTGGTCAAGTCACTCAGGCCCCAGTGGGTGCGCCGCACAGCCTCCAAGAAGGCCTGCTCGTAGCCGCTCAGGGCCCCCACCACCCGCAGTGGGGCCCTGCTCCCATTGCCCCCCCCATTCAGGGTCACCAGGCACAGGGGGTCCTGAGGGCTGCCTGGCAGCCAGAGACTGGGGAGCGGCCAGTCCCAATCTTGCTGAAAGATGAGTGCCCCGCTGCCTGTGGCCTGCTCCCTGGGCGAGGCCGAGGTGCTGGAGACCTCTTCCCTGGGGGTGCCCGGCCTCAGCAGAGCCCCCATGGCTGACAGCACCAGGGCCAGAGAGAGAGATGGACTGGGCATCCTGGGAGCTTCCAGGGGCTGGGCTGCCGTACTTTATAAGGAGGAGCAGGGCTGTTTGTGCTGCAGGGCGGTCCCTATCTCCTCCTGGGATGTGACCTTGAAGGCCGGTGCCTGCCGCGAGCCTGGGAGGCCTGTGGCCTTCTCAAAGCCCCCTCTGTTCCAACCTGCCTGCCTATCTCCTGGGCAGTGATACGGTGTGTATAGCTTGTGATCCATTTGTCAGACTGTCCTTGACAAATCTTCCCCCTCCCCAGAGCAGGAATGTGAGCAGGAGTGCATGGCCCAGACAGCCAGACTATCAACAACCTAGGGGTGTGGGAGGGTGAGGTGTGGAGCCCCTGCCCCAGGAGGATTTGGGTGCCAGCCCCAAGGGGGATGACACTTCACACTGGGTAGGCAGATCTGGCCCCGTGACCCCACGTGCCTGCTCACCCTGCCTCTGAGGACCACAGAGACCCCCAAGGGGAGTGAGCAGCCTTCTTCACTCTGCTGTCTTCCCAGAGAACCACACCACACTCCGCTGGCCCGCAGGGTCTGTCCTTGTCCAAGGGTCTCCCGGGCACAGAGACACCAGAGGCCACCCCTGGGGTTCAGATGGGACCCTGACACCCCCTATGGTGGTGGAAAGCAGCCACATGTGTTCACCCACAGCAAGCAGATGCTGACTGCCCACAGGTTGACACAGCAGTCCAGTTCATGGTCAGCAGACTCTTTAATGAGCTCTGGGGATACCCAGCCCAGTACAAAAAAACTCTACTCTGAGGGCAAAACCCAGGAAAACCAAACCAGACTTGTTAGGATGGCTTTTCAGTTGGTGGGGGGAGGGGGAAGAATGTTCCCAGGGCCTTCGGAGGGCAGCGGGGGCCTCAGCATCGGGGGCATGGGCGTTGGGGGGTGCACCCCAGGATTTGAGGGGTGAACCCCAGGCGGCTGGGGATGGACCCCAGGGGCCGGAGGATGGACCCCAGGAGGAGGGGGGTGGACCCCAGGAGGCTGGGGGTGGATCCCAGGGGCTGGTGGGTGGACCCCTGGGGCTGGTGGGTGGACTCCTGGAGCCTGGGGGTGAACTGCAGGAGTTGGGTGCACCCCCGGAGCCTGGGGGTGAACTGCAGGAGCTGGTGGGTGCACCACTGGTGCCTGGGGGTGAACACCAGCAGATGGGGGAGGATGGACCCCTGGGGCTGGAGGGTGGACTCCCGGAGCAGGAGGGTGGACTCCCGGGGCTGGGGGGTGGACCCCTGGAGCAGGGGGGTGGACCCCAGATGCTGGTGGGTGAACCACTGGTGCTGGGGGGTGGACCCCAGGAGCTGGAGGATGGACTCCAGGAGCAGGGGGATGCACCCCAGAGGCTGGTGGGTGGACCACTGGTGCCGGTGGGTGGACCCCAGGAGCCGGTGGGGGCAGCTGAGGAGGGCCTGGGGGTCCTGAGGGTGCAGGCCCGCTAGGTGGCATGGGTGGCAGGGGCAGGCCTCCTGGTGGGGGCGGGGGCAGCGACTCTGGTAGTGGTGGGCGAGGGGGCAGGCCGTTCATCAGTGGGGGTGGGGGCCGTTTTACCCCAGGAGGCCCAGCAGGAAGGCTTGGTGGGGCTGGCGGCTTCTCCATCTTGAAGTGGAACTGGAGAAAAAACTGGACAGACAAGAGTAACTGAGCAGGGTCCCAGGGGCTTTGGGTTGGGAGAAGGATGGGGAACTACGTGGACACGGAGTGACTCACTTGCTTGGTTTCCCGGTTCCAGTGAGTCCAGAACTTGCCTTCAGCCTTGTCTATTTCCCTGCTTGGCACCTGTGCGGGGTACAGGGGCAGAGACAGGCCCTTAAGACCATGAGATGGCCTGGCCCAGGAGGCCCTTCTGTGAGGGAACAGGGTCTGATGTGTGGGTGACAGCTAACACTCTTGCTCCGCTGCTTAACAGTCCTGCCACCCAGGGAAGTTGCAATCTACCCTCTTTCATTAACATATATGAGGATAGGACGAGGTCACAGAGTCCCTGGACAGCCTGGTAACAGGGACACCTCACTGGTGGGGCCACGCCAGGGTCTCTGATTCATGGTGGACACCCAGCCCCTGCCCTTGCTCTGCATCGTCTTCTGACAACCCCTCAGGAGGCAAGGGCCCAGAGCGGGCACCTGGAGTGGGCCGGGAGCCAGCTGCCTGGATGGAGCAGACCCTGCAGGACCCTCCGGGGTCCCAGCGAGCTACCTTGAAGGCAATGGTCTCATAGGGCTCAGCGGCCATGAGAAGGTACTGCCAGCGCCGGTCCGGGGGCTCAATCCTCTGCTCGTAGGCAGACATGAAGCGGTGTCGGGGCATGATGCCCTCAGCAATCTCGGGGTAGTCGATCTGTGGGGACATGGCCAGTGACAGCACTGCCTCTCAAGGGCCCCTCCCCTCAGGACAAAGGGTCCCTGGCCTTTGCTCACCTGGAAAAGGAGGCTCTGCTGGCCCATCTCTGTATCCCTCTGCTTGGTTACTGCAACACAGGAGGATGTCAGGTCCAGTAACGGGGTCCTAGGACTGGCCTCATGTCACCCGTGAATGGGAGAGCCGGCTTGGCAGGGAGGGGGAGGTCACCTGGCTGGGCAACTAGCAGTCATTGGCCCAAGGGTGGGAGGGCTGTGCCCTCCCTGATGCCTGATGTCAGGCCAGCTGATAGCACCCAGGTGGGGGCAGAGGGTGGGCCCCCGCTGCCCCCCCCCCCCCCCCCAGGCCTTCTGGGACCAGGCACCCATCACTCCCCAGCTCTGCTGCTTTGGGCTGCTGTCCACACAGCCCCGGGGCCCTTCACGTGCCCTCAGTGTCTCCTTGCCACACCCAGGAAGAGGCCAGATGACCCAGACTAACCAAAAGGCGTGTGGTGGCCTCCCTGAGGGTAGTGCCACCCTCGCCCTGGCTCACCAAGCAGGACCACCCCCGGGCCTTCCCAAGCCATGTCTTGTCTGAGACGCCAGCCATACACAGGGTGTGTCCACTTCAGTAAGAATACCTGCCAGGAGGCCTGCCTCCCCCCCCCCCCCCCCCATAGCAACCCGATCCTCTGCAGCTGCTGACCCAGGTGAGCCTCCCCTTTCCCTTCCTCTCTCCCCAGGTAAAAAGTGCCAGCACCCAGTTCTAATGTCAGAGGAATGGACTAAACCAGGGCCCGCAGTCCCCTCCCACCCACTCACCCACCTTTGCTAGGAGTGTAAAGAGCAGAGGAGATACTACGGCCCCCGCCCTCAGGGCAGGAAGCCTCAAATGGAAGCTGAGGCCACTGGTGAGGCTGGGGGTGGGTGAGGGACTGCCCGCCAAGGCCATGACAAGTTACCTTTGTAGCCCGGGCGGCCGATCTTCACAAACTTCTTCACTTCCACCTTGACCTTCTCCGGTGCTGGCTGGGCGGGGGCCTCCTTGGCCTCCTTGGCCGCTCGCCGGGCCCTGCAGGCAGGACAGACACAGTGTTGAGGCCCCTCCTCACAGGCCACCAAGGCCACAGCCCCAGGCGCCAGGAGCGCCCCATCCCCGGCCGACCTTGGAGATGTGAGGTGAGGGAAAGAGGAGTCAGGTAGCGTGACAGCAGGCACGGGAAGAGGTGCCAGGTACTTACAAGTTGGTCTGATGTTTCTTCCCCTGGGTATGTGCAAGGTAACTCCCCTGGAACATGAGAGGAATGTGCAATTGAGGACACAGTGATGGGGTGGTGCCCGATGTCCCCGCCTGGGCCTGCCTCATCCACAGGGCTCAGCGCTGACGGGCACCTGATGGCTACTGAACATGTGAGCTCTAGTGGGTCTGCACACAGGGGGATGAGATGCTCAAAAGCCAGAGATGATGAGAGTCTTGGGCGGCAGGGGGTACATAGCAGTCTTGTGGCTGCCAGGGTGTGGGTGGGGCCAGTGGATACTGCGGGGCAGTGGTGGGGACACCTGGAACAAACATGCCCTTTGATTCCATCTCAATGATGTCCCAGGGAGAAGACACGCGCATCAGCAGTTTTCAACTGGAGGCTTTTCTGACCCACAGGGACCCTGTGTCCAGGATGGTCCCTCACAGAGAAGGGGGAGCCCCAAAGCCACAAGGAGGTGCTCCCATCTGAGACTATTCAGCTCAGTGCAGCTGTCTAGAGCTGTGAACCAACTGGTCAGAAAGTATGTCCTCCACACACAGAAAAGGACAGAGAGGACCTGCTTATGGTGAAGGGCAGGAGCCCAGTGGAAGCAAGCATCAAACTGACACTTGCTTAAAGTCTCAAACTAGAAGCCACGCCTTCCAGACCTCCCGCCCCACGTGGACATCATGGGCATCCCCACATTTGCAGACGCACATCTGTGATATCGGAGCCGCTGATGTTACAGGAAACGGATGGATGGAAGCAGAGAACCCACGTTGGCTGTCCCAGTGCCCGTGCAGGGAGGAGGCTAGGAGGCTGGGCACAGCAGGGCTCTGAAGCCAATGCCTCCCTGAGAAAGACGCACCTCATTGTTGTGCAGCGTCAGGCACAACTTGCACTCATAGGAGCCCAGGTGGTTCTTCATGAAGTAGGGGTCCTGCAGAGGAAGCACATGCGTCAGGCAGTGGGGGAGACGCTCACGGATGGAGGACAAGGTGCAGGCCCCAAGTCAGCACCACCGCCCTGGGGATCCCACAGGGTCCATTGTACGGGGCTAGGGCTGACTGCCTGCCTCTGCAGCAAGCCCCGGAGAGGGGTCCCCTGGAAGCCCCCAGCCCCACACTGGTGGCGGCGTGGGGTCTAGGAAGAGGCAGAGCTGAAGGTGCACTGTTGATCCTCCATCTCCCCGGCCGGGACAGGGCTCCTCGTGTTGCAGCACAAGCCGGATGCAGGCAGAGGAGAGAAGCAGGCAGGGCAACCCCAGGCCTGGGGAGACTGTGGTCTGGAGGGCACTGAGCTGCTGCTTCAGGATGGGCAGGTGGGTGCACACCTTATTGATGTCAATGGTTTCCAGAGCCAGTTGTCGCAGACGCTCCCTGCGGTCCCGGTTGCTCTCGGAGGAGGAGGCCACGCCCCCGCTCCCGGTCTTGCCCCCAGGGCGATGCTGGAAGTCCATGGTGAGACCGTGGGCACTCTGTCAGACCAGGGGAGAAACCTGTGAAGGCCAAGGGGCGGCTGGTGAGACTATGTGTGAGATCTCACCCTCCTGGTCTGGCCTCACCCCTCCCCGGTCTCACCACCCCCAGCCCTGGCTTCACCACCTGTCTTCCAGTAGCTGAGGGCCCATGCTGGGTCCGGCACATGGGAACGAGGAAAGAAAAACAGGAGAAACGAGGCTTCTCCAGGTGACAGTGGGGGTGGGCCAGAGAGGAAGATCTCTTTGACTGAGGAGTGCAAAGGCCCAGGGACCCAAAACAGCAACAGAGAAGAGGAGGCTGAGTTCTCACTAACTAGTTCCATCTCCTCTAAGAAGCCTTCCCAAACTGCCCTGGCCCACACTATTCACTCCCTCCTCTGAATCCCTTTTCTGCTCATCTACACTTCCTTCCCGCAACCTAAACTCTACTTCTCTGATACAGCAGTACATTTGCTGGAACAAAGAACACATCCGGCTACCTGTCCACCCCCAACTCCCACTGCCTAACACACAAGACAGTCACAGCTCGTTTGCGGCTGAGGCAGACTCTTCCAGGCCCTTGATTTCTCCTCCACATCCCTGTCAAGCTGTCCAGATACTTTTTCCTACAGTTTCTCATACTCCTCCAGGTTCAGTTCAGATCCAACCTCAGGTACCTTCTCTCATCCTATATTCTCTTCACTGTCAATGCTGGCCCCAGGCCCCTGGTTTAAACCCACAGTACCTTGACTCTTTTAGGGTAAGCTCACAGGAATGGGGCCCAGGAGTGTGAACCCCCAAAGATGTACCTGTCCTGCTCCCTGGGGTGCCTGGACACATCACCTCACGCAGCAGAGGGAACTTTGCAGGTGGGATTAAGTTAGGTCCCTGAGATGGATACGACCCTTGATTCCCCGGGGGGCCCACTGTCATCATAGGGTCCTTATAAGAGGGAGGGGGAAGATCAGAGGCAGACGCAGGGGATGCTGCTCTGCTGGCTGTGAGCCAGGGATGCAGCGCCTCTAGAAGCTGGAAAGTACATGTCTTTCAGCAGGAGCCGGTGCTCCCCTGAAGCCTCCAGAGGGAATAAAACCCAGTGAGACTAGTGTTGAGTTTCTGACCATATAGATGCAGTGCAAACTCATGTCATGTAAGCCACTGATGGTTTGCTGCACTAGCCAGCTGTGCCACTGACTTGCCCTACAACTTGATGAGTTTATGAAAACCTCATGTCGGGTGACCAGTAGGGTGACCTAGCTGGCTGCAGAATTACCAGGCCTGACTCTTTTTACTACACACAAGGCTACCCAGAGTCATCAACTGGTAAAGGCAAAAAACACTAACAGAGCCAAGAGTTCCAGTCAGTTTGGGGACAGCCAGTTCCTTCGTTCAGTTCAGTTGCTCAGTCGTGTCCGACTCTGAGACCCCATGAAGTGCAGCACGCCAAGCCTCCCTGTCCATCATCAACTCCCAGAGTCCACCCAAACCCATATCCATTGAGTCGGTGATGCCATCCAACCATCCTATCCTCTGTCGTCCCTTTCTTCTCCTGCCCTCAATCTTTCCCTTCATCAGGGTCTTTTCAACTGAGTCAGCTCTTTGCATCAGGTGGCCAAAGTATTAGAGTTTCAGCTTCAACATCAGTCTTTCCAATGAATACCCAGGACTGATCTCCTTTAGGATGGACTGGTTGGATCTCCTTGCAGTCCAAGGGACTCTCAAGAGTCTTCTCCAACACCAGCCAGAAGAACATGCCATGGTGTCATGAAAGCCTGCAAGCAGAATCTGACCAACTCAGGAAACCCAAACACAGACAGATACTTAATCACTCACCAGCCTACCTGTTGGAATCTCAGAGAGGCTGGGGTAAGACCAGGTCGATCAGTGCCTGCCCGTTGAGCAGCAGTGCTGCCCCCCACTCCCCCCCCCCCCCCGCAACCTGGCCTGTGTCCAGCAGGCAGGAGACCCGGCTAGAGTCCCCAGTCCAAGGGACAGGGGAGATCAGAAGTTTTTTCTGCGGAGAGAGCACCAGAGACAGTATTCTCAGACACTGAAAGTTGGGGGCTCTGCATCCCCCAAACCCCAGCACTTTGCCAGGCCCACTGTGCTCACTAGAGAAGCACCATTCTCCACGCAGAACTGATGTCTAAACAGACGTGAAGAAATGCGTGTATCGAGGAAAAAGGAAACTCAGTGAAAAGCTCAACAGAAAATGTTAACATCCTCTTGGACGATGGGCGATGTTTTCACAGCTCGAAACTAGAATAGGATGCCACAGGTTAGCATGGCCAGTTAACACCAGACAAACCCTTTAAGCAAAGATGCGATGAGCCTAACAACCCACTGAATATGAGTGCCTGAAGGTAAGAATCAAAGCTATCATGAAGAACAGGAAAATAAACAATAGCAAAGTAACAGGGTAACAGGAGACAAAGCAAGAAGCTAGAAATTTTGAACTGAAAACAAAACGTGGCCACACTACTATATTTAATACAGATATAACCTATAGGAAACTACTGTATACAGAGCACAGAAAACTCTGCTCAGTGCTCTATAACGACCTATACAGGAAAAAAAGTGAAAAACAATGAGTATGTATACGTGTATAGCTGATTCACTTCGCTGTACACCTGAAGCACAACACTGTTACTCAACTATAGTCCAAATACAAAATAAAAACTAGGAAAGAGAAACAAAAAACATGAAGAGTATTATCAAAGAAACAACCTAAAAGAATAAAAAACTCTCCTATAAATAGACCATGAAGTTTAATGGCACTAAAAGTTCCTAGCAGATGGAAGAAAAAATCAGAAACAAGAGATCAGAAACCAGGATGAGATGAGAACCTTCAGAACACGTAAGGCAGCGCAAGGCTTTTCCCAATTCCCATCAGGGGCTTTCAATCTAGAACTTTACACCCACACTTCTAACTGTGAGAATGGATAAAGCCATTTTCATCAAAGCGAGGGCTCAAACTGAACAAATGAGTCAACTTCTTCAAAACCTACCTGAAGAGCTCTGATGAAAAAAGAGGAGACAGTGAGACTGAAAACAGAAACCAGCCCATGGGAGCCTGAACAGAAGGTTCTAGGATAGCTATTCAGCTGCCAGGTAGAGCTCCAGTCCTGAGTGGAACAGGAAGATGCCAGCACTGAGAGCGAAGTTTGCAGGCAGGAAAGGAAAAAAAAGACATCCACTGTTTCAACCCGTGGGAAACTACAACCAATAGGCTTGCAAAGGGCCGACTCATCAGAAAAGCCCCTGATGCCTGGAAAGACTGACCGCGAAAGAAGGGGGAGGCAGAGGATGGGATGGTTGGATGGCATCACTGATTCAATGGACACAAGCTTGAGCAAACTCTGGGAGATAGTGAAGGACAGGGAAGCCTGACGTGTTGCAGCCCATGGGGTCAGTCAGACACGACTGAAAAACAAGGCGTGTGAAATGATGATGCTTTGAGACAAAAATTAATATCCAGCAAAGAAAATCAGACGAATAGGAAGAATGAAAAAAGGAAAGGGCTCTGGAGGAAGGGTGGTGAGCAAAACAGTACCCCACAAAGCAGCACAGTTCAACACAGTACCCGCCTGAGCAGCGAAAGCTATTTTCAACCCTAGAAAATAAGATTGACGATTTGACTAAAGCTCAGGATCTATAACCACATCCATGGTATGAAGGATGAGGCTGCAGCGGGTGAGGGGGAGGCAGAAATGAGACCTCAGCAGTCACGGGAGGAAGCTGAGAGACCACTTCTACACCCGACTCAGACTATTTACAAGCTCGGGTCGGTCGTACTCAGCTGCCAAAGGGCAAAAGGGAGAAGGGGCCGGGATCCCGGAGTGACAAGTGGAGAAGTCATTTAAACTCCGGGCTTCGCTCGCTAAACGGGCCTAGTTAACGGGCTCTTGGGCCCGCGCCAAGAGCTCCGCCTCAGGACCTTCCTCACTCCTCGGCGGGCCTGGAACCAGGGGTGCCGTCACCCTCACCCATTACCGGAACCAGATGAGCCCCGGACCACAAATCCAGCAAACCAACAGACTCAGGGAAGGCGCCCCGGGTTCCTTGCGACCCGACCCGACCCAACGGGCCTTAGCAGCAGGAGCTCCCTGCGGGAGGGCGGGGGTGTTGGGCCGGCCCAGCGCCCGGCGTGTAGAGAGCCGGTGCCGCCCTCAACCCAGCACTTCAGCCACTCCCCTCCAAGGAGTCCCCCTGGGCCGCCGCCCTACTCCCGCACCACTCCTAATCCTCACCGACGATTTCGTCAAATCCACGGGCTCCTCACACACTGCCTTGGTCTATTCAGGCGCCGCAGCCACGGCGATGACCTCGTCCTGCGCACGCGCGCCGAGAGCTGAGAAAGCACTTCCGGGGACAGGAAGGGCGGGGCCTCCTGTGTGCGCATGCCCGGCCCGCCCAATGGCGCGGGCGAGACGCTTATAGGCTGAAGGAAAGCGGGGAGCGGAGTGCAAGCCGGAAGTCGAAGCGCTCGTGCGTGTCAGATTACTTCGTTCTTTCCGTCAATACCACTCGGGGAGCCAGTTCTCGCGGGGAGGATAGTTGCGATTCGCCTCCCACCTCTGGCCCCTGTTCGTTTGAGTAAGGGGTGCCACCGGTCGTGGGAATGCTTTATTGTTCCCATCCCGGGTTCACGTTATTATGTGGTCATATATGACACCATCCATTTTGTCTATAGTCCCGTTCACCCCAGGAAGTTCCCGCTCCGTCTTAACGGCCCCCGAGACGCTTCCGCCACACGCCGGTGATTGACAGACTGAGCGGCCGGGAGCACGCAGGCGTAGTAGCTCCGGCTGCGCTTCCGGGACGGCGCCGTGGGACTCTTTTGGCGCCGGCATCTGCGAGAGTTGGGACGGCGGCCGGGAGGGCGCGGCCGGCGTTCCGCGTTTTGGGTACCGGCGGCGCCATGCGCTATAACGAGAAGGAGCTGCAGGCGCTGTCCCGGCAGCCGGCCGAGATGGCAGCCGAGTTGGGCATGCGGGGACCCAAGAAAGGCAGCGGTGAGCGGTCTGGGACGCCGGAGCGGGCGGGCGGGCGGCTGAAGGGTCGGGAGTGGGCAGGTGCTGAACCCGCGCGATCCCGCCTTGTGTTCGCAGTGGTGAAGCGGCGGCTGGTGAAGCTGGTGGTCAATTTCCTTTTCTACTTCCGGACGGACGAGGCGGAGGTAGGGTGCTGGGGAGGACTCCAGTGGGGGTTAGGTTCGGGGTTCGGAGTCGGGGGTGGGGCGGGGTCGAGGTCCGGTGTAGGAGCAGGGCGGGCTTGGGAATCGGGGGCGGGGCAGGGGGCGGGCGGCTTCCCGGGGTCCCTCCCCCATGCGCCTGTCTGCCCGCAGCCCATTGGAGCCCTGCTGCTGGAGCACTGCAGAGTCACTCAGGAAGAGCCCAGCGGCTTCTCCATCAGTGAGTGCGGCCTGGGACAAGGCTGGTTGTCCCCCCCCACCCACCCCCCTGCGTGGCCCCACCTAAGTCCCTAGAGGCTGAGTGCAGTGTCCCGGCGGCCTCACGCGCTGTCTCCTCCCGTGGAGCCTGGTAATCTAGACAGAAGTGACCCGAACGGCCGCCCTCGTCTTGTTGGGGAGCATTTCTCTCCCGGCGTGCCTCGCTGCAACCGTTCCATTTCTCCTGTGAGCTGGGCTTGTGCTGGGGAACCGGGACTGTTTTCTCCTCGGTGCTTTTGAGAGGGTGGGGTCTGCAGGAGGAAAGATAGAGCTTCTACTAGTTTCCCCGGGAGTCCGCAAGAAAGTGTCACAGACTGGGAGGCTTAAATAGGAAAAATATATTCCTCCCAGTTCTGGGCGGGGAGAAGTCTGACTTCAGAATGTCAGCCTGGTTGCTTCCTTCTGAAGGAGAATCTGCCCAGCTTCTGGAGGGTTCGTTGGCAGAACTGTCTTGTAGAAACATCTCCCCGTCTCTGCCTTCATTTTCTGGGATCTTCTCCCTTGTGTGGTCAGGTCTAGGTTCGGCTTTTCTTAACAGCAGTTTTTCACCCTCCTGCGGTGTGAGCTCAGCTTAACCGCTTAACTACCTAGGCCTGTAGTGACTCTACGTCCAGATAGAGTCCCTGTCTTGGGAAATACACGATCTAAGATGTGAATGTACGTTTTTTGGGGGACACGATTCAACCTACAGTCAGCTGTTCAGAAGCAGTGGGCCCAGGCCAGGGCTGGAAAAGGAAGTTGAGGCCTGGGTGGGAGGGAGCGGGGACACATGGGGGCTGCTCCCTTCCCAGGCTTCCTGGAGGACCCAGAGAGGAAGTACCACTTCGAGTGCTGCAGTGAAGAGCAGTGTCAGGAGTGGATGGCTGCGCTGCGTCGAGCCAGGTGGGGTGCTGACAGAGTCTAGGGCCAGGCGGAGCCTAGGGCAGTGCGGGGCCTTGGGGGCTCACTCAGCTTTCCTTTCTAGTTATGAATTCATGCGGAGGAGCCTCATTTTCTACAGAAACGAGATCCAGAAGATGACTGGCAAGGTGTGCATGGGGGCGGGGGGGTGGGGGCCTCCTGGGCTCAGGCTTACTCCCTCCCCGCCTTGTCGTCCACCCACGCAGGACCCCCTGGAACAGTTTGGCATATCAGAGGAGGCCAGGTTCCAGCTGAGCAGCCTGAAGGCATGAGGCCGGGTGGGGCTCCCCAGCTGTGCTGTTGCTGGACAAGGCCTCTCTGCCCTCCCGGCCCCAGGTTTCCTGGCCAACCGTGGATTTGCTGTGGAAGTATCTTGGTTTAAAGACTTCAAACACCCCAGGGTGGGCAGGGGCTGCCTTGTTGGGAGAAACCACCCAGCAAGTGTCTTCTAGACACACTGGGAACCACTGGACTGGTTTGGTACCTTGGTGCCGCCTGCTGCTGCCAGGGGACCAGTGCCCCCTCCCGGAGCTGTGCCCCGCCCTTTGGGTCCGTTGACCCAGGGTCTGGCAGGTACAACTCTCCTGCGCTGGGCAGGCTGAATGTATAAAGTTAGGTGAAGCTGTGAAGGGCGTGGGGCCGTGCTGGGGCCGCTGTGAATTCTCCTGCTGAAGGGGCAGGCCCTGGCCAGACGCCTCTGGGCAGAGCTGGAAGGCTCGCCTTTGGGGTGGCCAGTATATTCTGTTCAAATAAAGGTACCTCTTTTCCATACGGGCCAGTGGTGCTGTGACTGCAGAGAGGGACATGTGTCCTCTGCCGCGCGCCTGTCCTGCATCTGCACAGCTGCTCCTGAGGGAAGTGAGGCCCTCCCCAGGTTCAAGGTTGAAGTGCCTGGGAGCAACAGAGTGGGGAGACCTGGAACCCGGAGCCAGGAAGGGCAAGGGGGGCTGGGACCTGGCCTACAGGGCTTCTGGCGCTCACAGGCCCCCGTCTGAGTGCCAGCAGGACCTCAGGAAGGTTTGTTGGTGGCGTTAAGGTCCCTAAGTCAGTTTAGGAAGGCTAAAAGGAGGCTGCCCTGGGTGGTCCTGACCTGGTCATAGTCGTCAGCCCTCGAGCAGGGGCTGGGCCTCTGAGGCCAGGTGCGGGAAGTTGTAACTTGTCTGTCGGCCGCGGTGCCTGTCTTCAGGAGCAGGTGGGCCTCTACTGGGAGCGGCCGTCCTCCCTGCCTGGGGACCGTGAGCACGGCCCTGGGCCCTGTGCACTCTCGGACCTTGCTGTGTCATCACCAGGAAGAAACACTGCTGCCAGACTAGGTTCAAGTGAAAACAGGTATTTTATTACAGCGTCTAGAGATGGATATGCAGTGCAGTGGGGTTCCCTTGGGAAGCGAGGGGAGTTAGCGCCCCAACTGAAACACAGGTTACCGAAACGACAAAGCAAAGCCCATCTGCATTACAAACCAAGGTGTGACAGAGCGAGCGTGGATGGATGTGTGAGTGAGAACAAACAGTCCTACAGTGGACGGGCAGGATAAATAATGGGGGAATCTTAAATAGATCACGATTTGACTTGTAGCTAAATGGAGGGCTGTGTCCCCTGACCAGAGGGTGTCTTCATTGTTAGGGTTTCCTGAGCAAAGCGACCGTAGCCATCGGACTTCCTGGAGTGGAGTGGAGCGCCCGGGTCAACAGCAGCAGCGGGGCTCCTCCCCACGCCCAGCACCCTGGCGCCCCCTCCTTCCCGTGGCAGCGGCACCCAGGCCCAGGCAAGGGGCTGGGGCCGGATGGTGGGTGTGGAGAGGCCAAGCTGGCCCCGCTGTGGGGCAGGCCCTGTGCACGTGTCTGTCCCTGTAGCTTGGAGGGCAGACAAGGCATGGTGGCCTGCAGGCCATGCAGTGTTTGTGTACAGTGTCATTTGTTCAGATGGGGCTCCTCAGGCAGCCCCGCAGCTTTCTGTTGGGGGTGGGGAGCCTCTTGAAGAGGGGTGGGGGCAGGGGGCAGGACAGCACCATCACACACCCACCAGGAGCACCGACCTGGGGTGGAGGGGGCAGGGCAGGGCCGGTGGTCACAGGAGGAGGGCTCCATCTCCAGCTTCAACTGCTGCTCTGAGCAGTGCAGAGGTGGCCAGAGGTGGGACACTGTCCTGCTCTGACCCTGTGGCCTGTATCTCGCGGGGCCTCCACCTGCCAGAAAGGCTGGCTCCAGACTCACCCCAGGAATGAGGAGGCGGGCTGGGGCTCGGCTACCATACTGATCCTCAGGGACAGCAGAGGGCCCCACTCTGCAGGGGTGGGTGGTGGTGGCCAGGCTGGGGAAGGCTCAGGTTAGATCCCTATGTGGAGGCCCACCTCCTGCTCTCCTTGGGGGGTGCCACCTGGTGGTGGGGGCGGTGAGCACCTGAGGACAGGGCTCTGAATGCCCACCTTGGGGTCTGGGCCCCCTGCCAGCACCTTTGGCCAATATTGGCCCTTCCAGGGAGGCACACAGACAACACCGCTGCACCAAGGACCCAGCACAGTCACAGATGCTGTGCAGAGGACGGAGAGCCCCACCCACCACCGCGGAGCCTCAGGGACCAGCCCTCTTGCCCTGCCACCCCACCACATCCCCCCGCAGCACTACTGTGGCTGCTGGGGGCGGGGGTGCGGGGGGAGAGTGTCACTCCAGCTGCGGGGTGGTGGGTGGGTGGGCCAGCTGTGCCCTGGGCCAGCACCTCTGTGCACTTGAATAAACAGCAAGGTTTCCCCTCACTTTTCTTTCGTTCTTTTTCTCTTTAGTTTACTGTGTATTCATCATACAGTCTAAAAATAAATGAATTCAAGTCTATGAAATTTATAAATTTTCATCACATCTCTATAAAATACTGTCACCCGTCAGCGTGACTCCCCTGTAGACACACCAGGCACCCACGACTAACCACCCGCGTCCCCAGCTACCACTGGCGCTGACCCTCCCTGGGCAGCCGTGGCACGGGACCGGACGAGCAGAGACGTACAAAAGTAAATGCACTTGTCACACGGCGGGTTCCAGACCCTCCTCGCGAGCACCACTCAAACGGGTCCCCTCATTGAGGCACCCCGCTGCAGCCTGGCCGCGCGGCCACCATTCCTATGCCAAAGGCGTGATGTGGACCCAGGAGCCGAGCGAGGCCGTTCACAGTGCGAGGCGGGGCGGGCCTCCACCCGGAGCTGGGGCCTTTGGTATAGGAAGAGCGTTAGATAAACAGGGCGGGCACAGGGCCTGGCGTCGGCATTGGTCAACCCCGAGAGTCAGCACCAAGAGCGTGGAGGCCGGCCTGCGACGAGATAGCACCGGGCGGCTGGCGGTCCCCGCGGCGGCCAGTCCTCGGGCGGATGGACGTCTTTACATAGATCCTTTCACATATAGTATCTACATCTCTCAATAGGTTGCCTTTACGGCTTCGGTGGAATAAAATAAGTCAAAGTTGTTTATACTTTTTAAAAAACGATAAATACTTTATCTAAAACTATGGACAGTACAGGCTGGAGCTGGGCCCCAGCGAGCCGTCTCCGCAGGTCTGCGCGGCGCTGATTCACAGTAGAGCCTGTTCTCTGGCCTCCATCCGTCCTCGCCGTCCCGTGGGGGGCCCCGCGCCGCCGGCCCAGCCCGCCCTTGCATAGTCTCGCGGTTGAGGTAGAAATCCTAGTTACCTGCGGACACGCGTGGGAAGAAAGGCGGCACAGCGTTAGCCCCTCGCCCACAAGGCCCGGCGCTGCCCCAAGTCGGGAGCCAGAGCCGCCGACGGACAGACGGACCGACAGACGACGCACGTGGTGGCCGTAGGACCCTGAGCCACACCCTAGGCCCGTCCCCAGGTCCCCTGTCGGGCAGTGCTCCCAGAGGCCTGTGAACAGCCTGGCAATAAGCCTACGTGCCCCTGGGAGAGACTGGCCCAGGCAGCAGGGGAAGCAATGTCCACCATGGGCCTGACTTGGCCTCCATGTGCTCAGCTGCCCTCTCTAGCTCCTCTGATGGCCGGCGGCCGCTGCACGCTGAGCAGCCCCACCTTCTGGGTTTTTCCAACTACCAAGGCACAGCCCCGGCCCCAGGCCTCAAGTAAGGCTGTCTGCAGACCCTGACCAGGAGGCCGTCGGACTCCAGCGGCTGCCCATTCGTTTCCACTTAAACACACGACACACAGCTGAGGACATAGGCAGATCCTGAGCCCAGCCCTGAAGCCCCATTTCTGCTCTAGACCTCACCCCGGGGATGTGGGTGCGGCACTGGGAGTGGCTGGGCCTCAGTCATACGACAGAACACTGCCCACCCGCCGGGCCTTCCTTCCTGTGGCTGGTGCCACATTCACCCTGCCGCCCCCTAGGCAAGCCCTTTAGCTAAGGAGCCCACCAGATGACCATGCTCTGAAGGCCTGCAGTGCAGCAGGGGCCTTGAATGCGCTGAGTTTTCCTAAAACCCTATGAGGCGCGTTCAAGCACTGGGCGACAGGCCCAAGCACACAAAAGGCACTGCTGAGCTTCTCCACGGCCCCCAAGAACCCACACGGGAGCTGCCCGGGCCCCCGGTGGCCACACCCAAGCCCAGGGTGGTGGCAAGCTCAACAGGGAGGACACCAGCTTGGCCCTGCTCCTCCTGGTGCTCTCCCTGGGAGACCTAGGGTGCGGGGCCACAGGCAGTGGGACCAGCCATGCCCTGGTTCCCTTGCTGCCCTGGCTCTCTGCCTTCACGCCTCCTGGCCTCCTGGTCGTGGGAGCACAGCCTTGGCCCCGTGACCTTCCAGGAGCCCCGCCGGCCCACCTGTTCTCTGCAAAGGGAAGCACGGCCACCTAGTCGGGCTCTAGCCTTACCTTACAGAATACGAACTGCTAGCTAAGCAAGGTCTTTATCGCGGCTTAACCCCCGCAAGGCGCGCGGCACACGGAGGCGGCATGCCAAGGGAAACCCACACGGCGGGCGGCCCCGTGGAGCTGGCCTGTGGGTTCGCGGGTGTGGCCTGGGCCAGGGCCAGCCCAGGCAAGGGCTGGTGGTGCACCGTCAAGGAAGGGCGGGACACCTTGTGCGGGAGGGAGGCGAGCTTGATGGACAGAGAGGCGTTAGCAGGCGGCAGAGAGGCAGCAGAGGAGGCGGGTAAGAAAGCTTGGTTAGCAGGGAGGGATGCGAGGTTCTGCAGAAGCACGGGCTCAGAGTTAGCTGGGAGCAGCACAGGGGGAGAAGGCAAGGTGGCATTAGGATGGGGGGGTGAATGGAGGGCGGGCTGCCCCGGAGGGGGCCGGCCCAGGTGCGGAGGGGGTGGGGGCGGCCTCGGCTCCGCAGAGGACGGGGCCTGAAAGGAAGAGGCCGGGATGCTGGCCACCGCCTGCGGCGGGGTTAAGCTCAGCGTGGTGCTGCGACATGCAGCCCCACTGCCGAAACTGGCTCCAAACGGATGGGCGGAGGCAGGAGGCACCGCGTGGTTAAAGACACCTGCAAACAGGAGAGAAAAACTCAGCTTCAACAGGCGGGCACCTCCAGCTGAGCCAAGAACAGCGCGCGGAGGAGGAAGCGATGGCAGCTGCAGCTCCGCGTGCGGGCACAAGTGCAGCAAAGCGCAGGCAGCGGGAGCACGGGCGGGCCCACCGCCAGGCCCTGGAACCCTACCCCACCCCACCCTACCTCGGTGCCACGCGAGCCGGGAGCCTGTGGCTCCCCGCACTCTGCTCCACCCTGCATGCACGCGGGTGGCAGGCACCACAGCCCCTCGCTCTGTCCCAGTGCCGGCTGCATCGGACCTTCCGGGTGAGCTCATAGGAGGAAGGAGAGCCCGGTCATGGCGCCGGTCCCTCTAAGAATCAGAGGGCGCGGTCAGACCAGAGAGCCTGGTACAGCCGACTCACGCCCAAGTGCTCTGCCCACACGACCGTCACGGCTGCGTTTCGTGAAAAGGAACGAGGTGGCGGGCGCAAAGTGGACCCAAAGGGACACGCGGGCACAGCCTCTCCCCCCTCAGGGGGCCCTGGAAGGGAACCTGCAAACAGCAGTGGTTAAACCCAACAGTCCGGGTGGGCGGCGGAGACAATGTGCGGCCCACAGCTCGTCCCCCAGCGGGTCCGGTGGGACCAAGTGGCCAGGAGCGCACTGCCTACCTCCAACTGCGCCGCCGGCCACCCCAGAGGAGAAGCTGCCCATGGCGTGCGAGTTGGTCAGTCTGGTGGCGGCGGTCGAGACGTGAACCAGGCCAGCGGCGGGCACGGAGCTGAACAGGGACTGCAGCACAGACGGGCCCAGGTTGGCCTGTAGCGACATGGGGCCCAGCGCGAACTGTGGCCCGGGGGTAAAGGTGCCCAGGAAGGGGCGGTGGGTCTGCACGGACGGGGCTGCGCCACCTGCCGAGGATGCCACTGGGGCAAGACCTGGGCCACTGAGGAGGCCTGCAGGGGGTGCGGCGACGGCGGCCATGAACAGGTTGTGGCCATTCTTGACGTCGGGCTCGCGCTCACGACCCTTGCCGGCCTTGCTATGCACTGCTGAGGCCTTGTCTGGGGGTCCGCATGTGGGAAGGCCCCCCTCGCCTTTCGGGCCCAGTCCGTCCAGCTGCCGCTTGTTCGCAAAGGGGCCAGACTCTGCGGCGCCACCCTCCTTGCCCCGTGGGCCGGGGAAGCTCAGGGGGGCACCCAGGCCAGCTGCCTCGGGGGCCTTGTGGGAGAGAGAAGCACCATCACTGAAGCTGTGTAAACTGAGGTCAGTTGCTAGGCCCCCGCCCAGGGCAAAGCCGCTGGCAGGAAGGCTACTGGGGCTCAGCCCGCCCGCCCCCGGCAGTGTGCCCGGGAAGCTCTTCCTGGAGTGGGTGGCCAGCTTGGCATCGGCCGCGCTGGGCTCCTCCAGGCTGGGCCGGAAAGCGAACAGGGAGTTGTGGCTCAGAGCGGAAGCAGCCTGCAGCGGGCTGTCGGCTGCCTTGGCCAGGCCCAGGTCGGAGATGGGCGAGAAGGTAGATTTCCACTTGCTGCTGTTGACCGGCTCACTGGCCAGCGGTGCCTTCCTTCCCGTTAGGCTGCCACCTGCTGGGAGAGGCAATGGCTGAGGCCTGGGTGGTGGGGCTGGGTAAGACGCCACGGATCTCAGACCACCGCCTGCTCAGAGTGCTTCCACACAGAGAAGGCCCTTTGGAGAAGGGCCTGGCAAGGGTGGGGCTGCCAGAGAAGCTGAGGGCAGAGGGCTGCTAAGCAGGAGGAAAGGCGTGTTCACAGGGAGGACTACATGTACCCGAGTAACCAGGTGGCACCAAGAGTGCCCCACGCATCACAGGGAAAGGGGCGGGGGAGGTGTGTACTCAGCACAACCCAGGACAATTCTGGAAGCCCTGTGGGGTCCTCAGGGACCAGGCAGCAAGCCTAGCATGGGTGCCAAGGACTCAAATGTTGTGCACACTGAACTCACCATTTTCCAAGGTTTTTGGTGGAGACTTGCTTTCTAAGGAGATTGTTGCAATTTTTCTTTCAATTCTACCAGAAAAAGAAAAAGAGGATGAGTGTTTGCCATCCGCGTGCACACCAGAGTGCTGTGTGTGTACAATGAATTGCCCAGACGAGCCGTGAGCCAGGGATGTCTGATCTGCCGTCAGGGCCCCCGATGCCGGCTGTGGCAGGGGGACACGGCTGAGTGTGGGCCCCGGCAGCAGAGGAGGAATGCCACTTCCCAACACACAGACACATGCAGGAGCCCCAGGCAGGACTGGCCCCGAGCGGAACGGGCTCTTGAGCCTCAAGACTGTGTCGTCCGCGGAGGGGGATGACATGGTGCTGAGCACATAATGACCCCCCCAGCAAGTTGCAACCGGTGACATAATGGTGTGGCTTCACATGTCAGGATTCTTAGGGGCCGTCCCAAAGGACCATGACCTCCAGAGACACAACTCCCAAAATAATCCAGAATTTTCACAGTGTAATGTTTGTAAGTGGAAGAATGAACTCAGACAACACTGGGAACAGCCGACTAAAGAAACACCACAAATACATGGTGCACGGGGCCTGTTCAGAACACAGCACTCCTGTGCCTCAATGGACACCAGCAGCACAGTGACCACACACCGAGGATCGGGGGACACAGCTGCAGGCCCCTACCTGGGGAGGGGGTCACACTGAGAACAAATAAAGAGCTCTCAGGACTTAGCAGCATAACCCGAATCACGCACGGGCCGTGATGTGACATCTCTCCAAGGAAGAGATGACATGGACTGCCACTGGCCCCTGGGGAGAAGAGGTCGGAACCAAGAGGACACCACCACACACCCAGAGAGACAGAGCTGCTGCATGGAACACAGACCCAGAAGATGACGCATGAGGGCGAGGACGAGGAGAAACTGGCGCCCCGTGCACAGCTGGCAGGAGGGAGATGGGGCAGCCGCTGTGGGAAGTCGGATGGGTCCTTAAAAGTTAAGCACAGACTCATCACATGATCCAGCAAATTCCACACCTAGGGCCTGTGTGAGCTAATCACTGTTGTGTCCAACTCTTGTGACCCCATGGACTAGCCCACCAAGCTCCTCTGTCCATGGGATTCTCCAGGCAAGAATACTGGAGTGGGTTGCCATGCCCTCCCCCAGGGTATCTTCCCAGTCCAGGGACTGAACCCATATCTCTTATGTCTCCTGCACTGGGAGACAGGTTCTTTACCACTAGCACCACAAACCATAAACACGCTTTCAAATAAAAACGCACATACCAACATCCAGACCAGCATGATTCATAGTAGCTAAAAACAAAGCAACCCAAGCATCCATGATGGGTAAACATGTGGTCCATCAACACCGTGGAATATGATGCAGCTTTAAAAAAGGAGGTTCTGACACCTGCTACAACCTGGATGAGCCTTGAGGACATGATGCTCAGTAAGAGAAGCAGACACAGAAAGACACACTCTATCTGATTTCACTCACAGGAGGTCCTAGAGGAGTCAGATCCACAGAGACAGGAGGTAAATGGTGGGGCTGGGGGAGGGGCTGGGGAGTCTTTCTGAAGTGATGAAATTGCCCTAAAATTGAGAGTGGTGATGTTTGCACAACCCCAAGAATACATCAGAAACCCCTGGATTGCACATTTTAGGCAGGTGGTATATTATGTGAATTACACCTAACACAGCCGCTGTCAAAGGGAAAAAGAAGGGAAAGCAAGCCTTGATCCCCATCAGGTGAGTGGACTGGAGCCTGCGCACCTGTTTCTGGCTCTCCCACCCGCTGCCCGCCCTCCTCTCCACTGACATGCGACACCTGCACGTGGGCTGCAGGCTCAGGCTCGGCTTCGCCCCACACATAGGCAGCGAGATGCTCTCAAAAGCCTTGGGCCCTTGCAGGCTGTTTCTCACACAGTTAAACCATCCCAGATGTGCCCTGAGAGAGGACACAGCTGCAGGTCAGGGTGAAGACCTGTGGTCAGGACCTGCCCCCCTTGTCACCGCAGCCCACTCGCCTGGCACTGCCAGGCTCATCCTCAGAGCCTGGCTCCTCGTCCGAGGTCAGCGGGGAGTAGTGGGCGCCATTGGTCTGGCTCAGGGGCTTCTCCTTCTTGAGCACGGGTGGTTGGTCGTTGTCCTGGTAGGGGACGGGTGAGCTCTTTAGGGAGCTCTCAGGGGACGAGATGGCTGTGATCTCCAGGGGCTGGTTGATGTTGCTGACCTGAGGGCCGGGCACACGCATGAGCGCCAGCAGGCCCAGCATGAGCCCGCATCGGCCACCCAGCCCCAGCACGCCACTCCCGCCTCACCATGGAGTTGAGGTTCAGGGGGGACCCTGAAGACTGCGTGAAAAGCCCAGCAACAGATGGCAAGGCCCGGCGCTTGGGGGACACACTCGAGCTCAGGCTGGGGGTCCCCGCTGACGCCCGCTTCCTCCGGCCCCGCTTGCGGCTGTCTGGCCCATGGCCCTGGCCACCGTCCCCGCGGGCACCCGAAGGCAGAGGGCTATGTTTGCTGGAAGGTGACTGCTTGGCGCTGCTGGCGCCTGCAGAGATGGTGAAGACGATCCTCCTCTTGGCTTCGCTCTCAGGGTCTGAGAAGCTGGCCTCGCAGGGCAGGTCCCCTTTGCCAGAGTCAGGGAGCGGGCCCAGGGCGCCTAGCCGGGGGCTGGCAGAGAGCTGCGGGGCTGGCGAGGCCGAGCCGCAGGCACGTGGCTGCGTCAGCAGGGGCGGGTGCTGCGGGGTGGAGCTGCGGGACCCCACGGTGGCAAAGAGGCTTCCAGAGCTGGAGGACTCGTCCAGGGCTGGGGGCTCGGCTCCAGGGCCGAGGGGTGCCGGGCTGCCCGCCAGGGCCCCACTGATGGCCACCGAGCCGGTGTATGCAAAGCCTGCGGAGGACACATGAGGTGGTGGCTCAGCTCTCTGCATGCTTGGCACCCTTGGGCCTTCACTGTGCCCTCCTCCCCACTTCTGGGCCTGCAATAGTCGGGGGCCTGGAGCCCATGCACATGCTGAATGGATCCTGGGCACCGCCAGCAAAGATGTCCTCCACACACCAGAGCAGCGGCGTTGAGATGAGTGCTGGAGCCGCCTGCTTCACATCAGCGACAGGGACCATCTAGGCGGCAGGCCCCCAAGTACACAGTTGGCCCCACACAGAAGCCCCATCAGATCTCCCAGAGGACCAGACCTTGCCAACAAGGCCAGCACAGGCCCTGGCCGAGCAGGACCCCAGTGTGCGTGCAGCTGAGGATGGCCCTGATGTGGCTCAGACCCTGCGGCTGGAGGGGCCAGGTCTGGCCTCTGGGAACCCTCACCTGTGGGAGCCAGGGCGAGGCTCTTGCTCCCGGAAGCGTTGCCCCCGGTACCATGGGTGTTAGCAGCCACCTGCTTCTCCAGCGTGGATGACGACTCTCGGGCCGGCGGCCCAGGGCTGGGTGTGCTTCTCTGCAAAAAGAAGGCGCACACTGTCAGCCAAGCCAGGCACACACCCAGCTGGGCACATGCCACAGGACGTCCCCATGGCCCGAGGCAGCAAGCCCAGAAGGGCGACGGCCACGCAGGTGAGCCTGGAAGTCAGCCACCAGAAGGCTTTCACAAGGTGAGGTGCAGATGTCTGACCTCAGCTCTAAATGGCTGGGACAGCAGTGAGGGCGGTGGTCATGACCTGATCTAGCAACTCCACTCCTAGGTGAAGCTAGATAGAAACAACTGTCCACACGATACTCGTTCACACACGTCCATAGCAGTGTGATTTACAACAGCCCCAAAGTGCATACAACCCAAATGACCATCCATAGAGGATAAACACATGTGTCCCTCCACACCTGGACCATCCCTCAGCCACAAAAAGGAGAGAAGCCCTGACACTCGCTCCCATGTGGATGAACCCTCAGGACACGACGCTCAGTGAGACAGGCAGACACAGAAGGACACACAGTGTGTGATTCCACTGACAGGAAATGTCCTGAACAGGCCAAACCACAGACAGAGTGGGGTACTGTCAGGGGCTGGGGAGGGGGTAGAGGGGTGATGCCGATGGGGATGGGCTTCCTCTTGGGGCACAGAATGTTCTAAAGCAGAGCTGGCTGCAAGACTGGTGAACACACTGAAGACCCCTGCGCTGAACACCTTAGATGGATGAGTTCTGAGTGAATGACACCTCCATAAACACAAAGCCCAGCCCGCTCTACACAAAGTGTAACTCCCAAGTGCATGCGTGTGAGGGAGAACGCAAGTGTGGACTCAGAGGATAGGGCAGCTTCTACAGAACTGGGAATCTCTCGCCACTCACACCGTCACCAGGCACACTCAGATCTAACGGTAAAGTTGGAAACCTTACTGGGAATTGGTGCTCTCTTTTTCTCGGGTGTTGCAGCACGCTGAAGGTGTAACTGTGAGTAACTGAACAGAAAGTGACTGGGCCTCGAGGAGAAAGGACAGGCCCGTGGCTCTGCCTTGTGCGTGCACATGAGGCCTGGGGCAGCAGGCTTGGGCCAAGGGCCGCACTCACCGCCTTCTCGGCGCGGCTGGGCAGCACCACGCTGGCCAGGGGGATGCTGACGGGCAGCTTGCTGGGCTGCACGGTGCTCAGCGGGATGCTGACGGGCAGGCTGGTGATGGCCTCCCCACTGCTGGCGTAGGCACGCTCCTTCACACCCTGCCGACCAGGACAGTGGCCTCGGGCACTGCCCCGGGGACACTGGGGAGTCCAACCATCCCCCACCCCAACCCATTCTCCCAACTGGCCAGACCCGCCGGTCAGCAGCCTCCACCCATGGCTGGCCCACCCTGCTGCTCAACCACCCTCTCCTCCCATCCCCAGGGACTGAGCTCTCTCCCAGCCTCACCTGAGGGCAAGGGTACAGTCGGGTGGCCATGCTGCCCCCTCCTGCAGGACCTCCTTTGAGAACCCCCTCCCCACCCAGGGTCACAGATGCTCTCGGAGAGCAGCCTCACCTTCTCAGGACCCTTCTCTCCCATCTGTAAAGCCGTGGGGGATGAAGGTCGGGGGTCTTGTGGGCTCAGCTTGATGCCATTGGTGATGCCAGGGCTCTGGTAAGGGAGCCCGTTCTCCTTGGCATGCTCGGCTCTAGAAACAAGGCGTGTCCTCCATCACTCTTTGGGGAGCCCCCCACAGCTGCAGCTTTGTGTTCAGAGATGACAGCCCTGGCCTGGCAAACCCCCAATTCTCTTCCATTTTTTTTTTCTCAATTATTTTTATTAGTTGGAAGTTAATTACTGTACAATATTGTAGTGGTTTCTGCCATATATTGACATGAATCAGCCATGGATTTATATGTGTTCCCCATCCTGAACCCCCCTCCCACCCCTGATTCTCTTCCAAACTGATGATCTCCAGCTCAGAAGACCCGTGGGGCCTCCAAGCCCCTGACGCCAGCCTGCACTCACCGTGGGTGCAGCTCACTGGCAGCTGCCTTGCCGCTGGCCCCGTGGTCCTGGCTCAGATGGCGCCGCAGCACCAGCTTGGCAGGGGATAGCCTGGTGTAGTCAGGCAGGGCCAGCCCAGACAGCTTCTCCAGCCGTGGCCGGCCACTGTGGCTGGGGGTGCAGGGCACGACCTCCTGGTCTAGCGGGGAGGCCAGGTACTGGGGGGTGTTCTGCTTGGGCGAGGGCCGACCCAGTGCGCTGCAGAGCTCATAGCCGGCCGCGTGGCCATTCATGGAGAGCTCGGGGCTCAAGCTGCTGAAGGGTGGCAGGGAGAAGCGGGCGCAGTCCAGCTCTAAGTGCAGCCGGCCAGGCTCGGCCTCTGGCTTTCCACGAAGCTGCAGGGTCAGCGCCTCGTCAGGCGGCACGCAGGACTTGAGCTGCAGCAACTCTTGCTGCCGTTGGCTCTTCTCCAGCTCCACAATGCTGATCTGTGGGATGAGTGGAGGGGCGTCAGGCCCGTCAAGCCCCAAGTCCAGCATCTCGCCAGCCAGGACCATCCAGGAGAGAGAGGGGGACGTGGCTGGAGAGCTGACAGGTGAATGAGCGTCAGAGTGGGGCGCAGGTGCACAGAGGTGGTAAGGAGCCCAGGCTCTGTGGCCACCATGGCGACTGCCAGGGTAAGACATCAGGATAGCAGCTGTCCTGGGTGGGCCAGGGCTCAAGGAACTGCATGTTTTGGCTTTTCCCCACAATAAACAGGCTGCTTCTTGATTTTCACTTACAGAGTAAGGTCAGAACCCAGAGTGTTCCCTCCTAAGACCCCTCCCGCAGGCCCCACTACACACAGGCTTGGGCAATAAACCTCGTTTCTGTGACACATGGGCTATGACTCAGCAGAAAGCTGCTCTGGGGAGGTGTGTGCTCAGGACACATCCTCAAAGGGATCTCAGTGGACACCAGTTCACCATGAGTGCTCTGTGGTCAGAGATCCCTCAAAAAATTCCCAGGATCTAGTGCTGGGAGCTGCAGTCTGAGGGGAAGGTGTCTCTGCAGGTGGGCCAGGGAGTGGGGAAGGGGGCAATGAAGGAGGGTCCAATCCCCAGCCCAGCCTCACCTGCAGCTCCAGGCAGTGCCTCTGCTTCTCTGAGATCTGGCTCTTCAGGGCCTGCTTCTCCTTCAGCAGATTCTCCAAGGACAGCGTGGACCAGTCCAGCTTCAGCTCCTCACACCGTGCCTTGAGCTATGGGGAGGGTGTTGGGCTGTGAGCCCTGGCGGGCAGCCCCCACCCAGGTATACACAGCTGGGGGAGGGGCTCTGGTGGACGGTTCCTACCCAGGTGTGCCTGCAGTGGGAGATTGGGAGGAGCCCATGTGCACGGCTGGAGCACGGAGGAGCAGGAGTCTGCTGCCCAACCCCAAGCCCGCACCCTCAAAGCACAGAGCAGAGCTGCTTCTGGAGGCGGGGCTGAGGAGATGGGTCCCCAGGAAGGACACCCTGCAGGAGCAAGTAAGGGACATCTAGGAGAGGAGACAGGGCACTCGCAGCAGGCGAGGCCCAGCACACAGGGTGATGTGGGCTCAGGGTCCCTGGGCTGTAGGTGGGGGAAGGGCTGAGGGTGCCCTGGCAGTGAAGATCAGAGCCCGAGTCTGAGATGTGCCAGATGCCCTTCGAGCATCCTGATGGTAGACGGGGGCAAGAGGGGTCCCGCCTGGCCCAGAGTGCTCACCAGTCTCAGGCTCTGGCTCCTCAGCTCCCGGTTGCCCTTCTCCAGCTGCTCTGTCTGTTCCCTCAATTGCTGGTTGTGAGCCGAGATCTCCTTCTGCGCTTGGATCAGGTCGTTGTAGGTCAGCGCCTTCACTCCCAGCTGAGGACACACCACGGCCCAGGTGGGCACTCATGGGGCCACGTGCAGACTTCCCCTCGTTTTCTTTGACGCGGACCATTTTTAGAGATTTTACTGAACTTGTTACAATATTCTTTGTTTTATGTTTTTGGTTTTTTGGCCGCAAAGCATTCGAGATCTTAGTTCCCTGCTCAGGGATCAAAACCATGGCCCCTGCACTGGAGGGCGAAGTCTCAACCACTGAACCCCAGGGAGTCCCCAGAGCTGCCCTCTGACCACCCCCAGGCTCCAGGCCTCCTGTGAGGGAGACTTTCAGAGTCAGAAGCACTGGAAGGGCAACAGTCCACCTGGATATCAGCTGTCTGGGCTGGGGTCCCGCCCCCCTCACCTTGCCCACCCGCCCGCCCAAAGCTCAGCACTGGGGGTCATCTGCAAGGCCCCCTGGCAGCCAGGGCAGGGACCAGTCTACCTCGTCCAGTTTCTGCTGGAAGAGCCTCTTGATCTCCTCCTTCTGAGCTTGGCAGTGGCCGAACAGCTGCTGCGCTGCGCCTAGCAACCGGGCATTCTTCTCCTGCAGGGCAGGGCTGATAAGCGCAAGGACCATGGCGGGGGGGCGAGGTGGGGGAACCGCAAGCAGACTGGCCAGAGCCCCATGAGGGCTTCACCCCAGAACGTGGTGCCACACAGCGGTGGCTTGAGGTCCTGTTTATGAGGATCACGGGGCCTTATGCTGCCCACCCTCCAGAGAGCCATGCCCACGCTGGACCTGACTGAGGCTGCGGGGGACACACCCAGGCTGAGGGCCCCCTAGACACCTCTCAGCACGGGTGGACACTGTCCCCACATGAGGACGCCTCAGCCATCGCAGCAGGGCCAGCTGCAACCACAGGGCCATCGGGCCCTGAGGTGGGGGATGAGTGCACCCCCCCCCGCCCCCGGGGACTTGGCCGGCAGCACGGGGGCCGCACCTTCTCCTGGTCCAGCAGCTGCTGCAGGTTGGCCTTGTACTGAGGGGTCTTCGTGTATGCCAGGAACTGTAGGTACTGAATCTTGAAGGACTCTGTAAGGAGAGAACAGACTGGATGTCAACATAGGAAAGATCCCGCCAAGGCTCAAGGCATAGGTGGGGTTCATGAACACAAGCATGAACACAAGCCCCACAGGGCTTGGGGCCCAGGGCTCTGCCCCCAGCTGGGGTCACCCTCTCCTGGGGTCCCTCGAAGCTCCTGCCATCACCAGCCCATGTGTCCTTCCTCCCCACACGTGTGGGTTTTGGTTGGCTAATCTGCCAGTTTTTCTTGGTAAACATATGCTACTGCTGTTCAGAAAACTGATAGCTCCCAAGGTTGTAAAGGGTTTCCTTCACCTAGCTTCTAGAGCTGAGTGATCTCAACGCAGCCCGCCCTCGCCCATGAGTGCAAGCTCAAGTTGGCAGAACAGGGTCTGGTCCCGTGGGATCCTGGCACTTTGGACACAGAGGCCATTCTCTGGGGGGTGGAGCTGCCTCCCTGGCCCCACTCACTCAATGCCAGCAGCCCCCGGGGTGGCCCAGTGTCCCCTGGGGCAGGACCTTAGCCTCAGACCGCCACACGGGCCCTGGTGGTCCCAGAACCCGGGAGTCCCCTGGCAGGATAAGCCCGAGTTGTGGAGGTCGTATGCTCGGCTGCAGGGCATGGGGTTCCTGCTGGGGTGCAGACCAGCTGCTGCTCGCCCTCCCTGACCCGTGGGCCCAGCTGGTGCTCACCTAGCAGCCTGTGCAGGGCGGGCGGGGTGGGTGCCAGCAGCAGCTGCTCGGGGGTAGGCCGCTGCACACTGGGAGGTAGCTGGTAGAATGGGCTGTGAGGTGGCCTGTGCGCATCTGCGGGGACACAGCAGTGATCACAATCCCATAAATGGGGCCCAGAAGGCCACTGCAGAGCCTTCAGTGCCCCAACAATAGGACTCAACACAATTCCCACAGCCCCAACCACCAGATGCTAAGCTGCACATGCTCGTGACCTGGCCGCTTACTCTGAGCCAAGCCTCCTGCCAGGACCAGGAGCGTGGGGAGCCAAGATCCCAGGACCTGCTCCCGGGCAGATGGCTGGGTCCTCATGGCTGGGCCAAGCTGACCACACCAATGGCCTCAGGGGACCTGAGGTGGTTCCTCCCTCAGGAAGGTTCAGAGCTTGGGCGTACCCACACAGCATGCACACAACACTGGCACAGCAGCTTCTGCCCAAGGACCCCATGGCACTTCTGGGTCCCATAGCACGGGGGCAGGGCTCACCCTGCGGCAAGGGGGAGGCCGCTCGTGACACAGTCTGGGCGTGCAGCAGGTCCAGTGCGCTCTGGGTCTTCTTGGGCTTGCGCTCGGGGTTGGTGGCACTCATCTTCTTGGGGCGCCCGCGCTTCCGACCTGCCATCTTCCGGCCCTTCTTGTTCAGCTTCTTCTTCCGGGCCTTGGAGGGAGATGGCTTCTTGACAGCGGCCGTCCCAGCTTTCTCCTCCTCAGCACCAGAGTCCTGGTGGAAACCCACATGAAGGACTGGCCAGAGGTGTGGGCTCTGAGGGCGGCCTGGCTCCCTCCCCGACCAGAGTGGGGGCTCACCACGGGGGTGTCCGCGGGCACAGCTGCCTTGCTCTCGGGCACCTTGGTGGGTGTGGTTGTGTTGCTCTTGTTCTCCCGCTGCTGCCGGCGCCGAGCTGCCTCTTGTTCCTCCTAGTGGGCAGGCAGGGGGCATCTCCTGAAGCTCAGGCACCATGGGGACCCCCCTGCCTCCAGGGGCCCCAGAACTCAGGCTCCCGGGGGGTGGTCAGCCAGGTTCTGCTCATCTGCACCCTTGATGGTGGCACAGGGAAAAACAACACCCACACCCTGTCTCTGCCAGGACCCCAGCAGCCTTCAGATCACAAGGAAAAGTTACTGAAGGCAGAGCCTGGGTGCGGAGCGAGGAGGTGCCGGATGGCCTGGCCTGGCCTGGCCTCCCTGAGGTCCCCACAGCTGCTTCCCCACTTGGGGGTACTCTGTCCATAAAGAGGGCTGAGGGACACCCTGGGGCACCAGCAGGGCGTACAGTGCTGCCCACGAAGCCGTTCTGTCTTGGATGGGGTGGTAGTCCCCACACTGTGACCTGAGGTCCTAGCGTGGTAGGAGGCACCCGGGCAGGGGCTCCTCCAGGCTCACAGGCTCATCTGAGCCTCCGAAGAGAAAGATGCTGGGATGCTGGGACACACATCCCACAAGGTTCAGGGACAAACCGACAGGGACCAAAGGGCAGCAAAATGTTTCATAATGTTAACTATTTTCAACCTATCATCAACCTATTTTCCCCCAAATTGTTGAAACTGCTCAAGTCAAGGCTGTCACAGCCAGGGGCCCCGGGTGCCTAGGCCCAAATCCAGACCCTCAGACCGGACCCTTGGGCCCTGGTCAGCAGCAACCAGGCTTGTAAGTCAAGGGCAAACAGACAAACTTACCCTGAGTTTTGGATTTTTTAGACTAGAAAAATAGTTTTCAAGCTAAAAATGGAAAAGAAAAAGTCTCATTAGCGGTGGAAAACCCTGCAAGATAAAAGCCATATCCCAGACCCACCAACGCCAGGCAGTGACGTGCCTAGGGAACGCGCCGGACCCCGGGGTGGGAGTACAACCTCTGTCCCCCCAGGTTAGCTGAGAGGCAGGGCAGGGGCGCTCGGGCACCACTCACTATGGTGCGGTCGATGGTGTGCAGGTAGTAGGAGACTGGCTTCCCCGTCCACGACACCGAGCCTTTTAGCGGCGACAGCTCCACGACGCGCATGATGGTGCCGATGTCTGTGCACAGTGGGCCCACAGGTCAGGGGGCGCCTGGGCATCCCAACCACCAGCCTGGGAGGTGCCCATGGCCCTCCCTCCCCCAGGCCCTCAGCCGAGGATGAGGGTGGGAACAAGCCTGCAGTGTGGGCTCTGAAAGAGTCTCGGAGTCCAATGAGACAGCCAGGGCGGCTGCAAGGATGCCCAGGCCCTGTACACGCCCCCAAGGGGCGCTGTCACTCTCCCATGGAACTCAAGACCCTCACCCCTACAGCCCTGCACGGGGCCATGTCTGGGGACTGTCACATGGGGGATCCTGCATGGAGTGAGTGGAGCCAGGCCCAGGATGCCCCCAGGTCACCACTGCTGGTGGGGATCCTGCTTTAACCCACTGCAGGTGCTGACAATCAGACATGTTAAGAATCTGGCAACATAAGTGTTCTTACCACTCAAGTTTCTACTGTTTATTCTGAAGTTCAGAGGCGCAAAGGGCTTCGAGGACACGATTCTGCCACCTGGAAAACAGAGAGGGGTCAGTACCACCCTGAGGACACCAGCATGCGATGCAAACAAGAGCCTGATGACATCAGAGCAGAGGGGTGCAAAAGCATTCAGAAAACAAGTCCCCAGAACCCAGAAGGGAGAACCCACTGTGAGTCAGTCCTCCGCTCCCAGTGAGAGCCAAACTAAGAGGCGTCTGAGTGCCCTGGCCTGGAGCACCAAGTGCCTTCCTGTAAAGGTGTTCACAGCCCCACAGCCCCGGGGCTCGGGGTGGGCCAGCTGGGGTCCTGTACAGTGTCTGCACTGTGCTGATGACCCAGACCAGAACCAGCCCCGATCCACACTCACAGACAGAGCCTGAGGGAGAACTGGGCCCTGACCCACACAGACAGAACCTGAGGAGAAGCGGGTGCTGATCCACACAGACAGAACCTGAGGAGAAGCGGGTGCTGATCCACACCGACAGAACCTGAGAACCGGGCCCTGATCCACACAGACAGATTCTGAGGAGAACCGGGCCGTGATCCACACATACAGATCCTGAGGAGAACCGGGCCCTGATCCACACAGACAGAACCTGAGGAGAACCGGGTCCTGATCCACACAGATAAAACATGAGGAGGACCGGGTCCTGATCCACACAGACAGATCCTGAGGAGAAGTGGGTGCTGATCCACACAGACAGAACCTGAGGAGAACCGGGTGCTGATCCACAGGCAGAACCTGAGGAGAACCGGGCCCTGATCCACACAGACAGAACCTGAGGAGAACCGGGCCCTGATCCACACAGACAGAACCTGTGGGAGAATTAGGGGTTGGCCCCACATAGCCATAATAGGAATGGTTCAAGTCAGAAACGGCTACTCAGGAAAGTTTTTCCAGTAAAGTCCTGGCATGAGTGCAAATCACTGCAGAGAAAAGAAGAACCACAAGGATTCGAAGCCTTGTGCAGAGAGGTCACTGTGACTGGTGATGTTACCTTCAGAGTACAAAAGCTTCCCCCCCACCCTATGACACACTGTCTCTAAATGCATCAACACTAGAAGGACTGAAACTTTCCAGTGTAAGAAATAAAGAACCAAGAATAAATGTCAAAGAGGAGCTTCCCTGATGGCTCAGTTTTTAAGAATCTGCCTGTCAACACAGGCCACATGGGTTCAATCCCTGGTCCACGAGGACCCCAAGTGCCACGGAGCAACTAAGCCCATGTACCACGACTACTGAGCATGTGCTCTAGAGCCAGTGCTCTGCAACAAGAGAATCCAAAGCATTGAGAAGCCTGCACACCACAACTAGAAATCAGCCCCTGCTGGCCACAACTAGAGAAAAGTCTGCGCAGCAGGAAACACTCAACACAGCCAAAATACATAAATATAAACTTACCACAAAAAAAGTGAAAGAAATATGTTACAAGGAAAGTGGAGTGGTCAGGATGAGCCCCTCTGCACATGCTCACATGCTTCTGACTGTCCAGGCGCAAAGACCACCCCAGCACCAGCCTGGCCTCTGGCACCCCACGAGGAGGTGGTGATGACAGGTTCCCGACCAGCTGGGTGCACATTTAAGCAGTCAGCTAGCTGTGCACACAGTCACTGTGGCCAGTTTCGGGGCTCCCCAAGGCATCGTGGGAGCGTCTGAAGAGCGGGGCCGGGGAGCAGGAGGGAGTAAAGCCCACACATTCCAGGATGCTTTAATTAGGAAGCCCACGCAAGTCTTCAGGGTCAACAGGATATGCTGAGACGACTTCTGTGGGCATGTCATTGCAGGACCACAGATCCTAGGTGACAGGAGGGCCTGGTAGGCAGTCCCACTCCCACCAGGGGCCACGAGCCAAGCATGTGTGACACCCGAGAACTCAGGACATGGGGTGCAGAGGGCAAGATTAAGCTGACCATGAGGAACCAGTGCACCACGGGGGACATTCCATAAGACAATGATTCAGGATGCCCAGTGGGCAGTGTTCAAATGGAGGGGCTGTGCCCCGAGGCCCAAAGGCTACAGAATGGGACCCCACAGCCAGACAGATGCCTGGGCCAGCTGGGAGGATGGCAATTCAAGCTCTTCTCTGGATGGAGCCCAGGGCTGGGGGAAGGCACTCACTCCTATAAACTATCAGGAGTGACCCCTGCGCATGCTCAGGCTTGTGCTCACCTGCACACGCATGCAAATACATGTAGTCGGCAGTGCTGAGGGCAGCTAGAAACTGCTTCTATGCTGGGTGATCCTTTCAACTCTTCAGTCCGCTTGACATGTTTCATGATGAAACATGGAGGACCCACCCTGCTTCTCTCTCAGCCATGGACCTCAGGAGGACATGGGGGTCTCCCTGGAGCCTCAGGGACAGGGATGTGGGGGATAGGGGAGGCAGGGCAGGGTGCCCACACGTATCAGGCAAGGCCTTCCTCCAGGACAGGGGACTCCTGCTGTCTTGGGTCACAACTAGAGAAGCTCTTCCATCCCCACTTCCTGAACATGCCAGACGTGCTCTCCCACCCTGAGTCAGAGCCCAACTCCCCAGGGAACCAGCAGTGTGATGAGAACATGAATGAATGTTAGTCCTCATAGGCGTGATGCTCCACAGGCACCAGGATGCCCTGGGCACCATGAAGGTACGCCCCATGGGCTGCTGCACCTGAGCAGTGCAAGACCATGATGCAGTTGCATCCCTGCTCCCTGTACCTTCAGGAGTCTGGAGGTTTCTCAGAGACCACCCACTTGGGGACAGCCCTGCTCGGGTTTGCCACAGGCTGGGGCAGGAGCTCGGGACACAAGAAGATCCAACACCCCGGTGTTTCCGAAGGGTAGGGAGGGGAGAGGAAGAGGAAGAGGTTGGGCAGAGGAGGGAGGGGAGGCCAGTGAGGTCACCAGGGTCAGAAGCAAGAACTCAGCCTTGGCACCTCCCTCTCGGCCTCCGTGTGGACTGTCAAGAGCCCCCGTGAGCTTCCAGCCAGATTCCATCAACACTCCCTCCATAAAACCACTCATGTCGCCCCAAGTCTGAACACTTTCACACGCACAGGAGCACACACCCTTCCTAAAGGCTACATGGACTCTGACTCAGAATCAGAATGGAAGCTCAGCTTTCAAGCTCTCATGACCTCTCCCTCCAAAGCTGTGCCCAGCAGTCCTACAGAGATTCTGAGACTCAGAGCTGGAGAGGTGAGCTCCCCTCCTGGGCGCATCTGGTCTCACCAGGCCTTGGGACGGAGAATAAGAGAGGGGGGAAGTGGCCGGGGGCTGCGGCCAGGCCTTGAGGGTCCAGACATGAGAAAGGCCTGGGCAAAGTCAACAGGGCTGGTCTGGGCAGCCCCAGTGCCCCCAGGCTGAACTTCCATTTAGTCAAGTTCCAGTATAAGACACACAGTTAAGTGTCCAGGACATCACTGAACTAAGAAGTTACGCACTGTCCACGGGAAACCCAATGACCTGGACAGTCTGCAACTCCCTTGCTAACCAGGTCCCCACCCCATTTTCTCAGGCGGCTCTGCAAGCTCTGGCCTGAGCAGTGGTAGGGTCCACTCTGTTCATTGCACATGCTGAGCTGGGAGGCACCCTGCCTGGAACCTAGGTGACAGCAAGAAGGACAGATGGACCTTTCCCTCCCGCCCCCGAGGCCTTCCCACTGGGGCTGGATCAGAGGATGCTAGTCAGGACCCCACCATGCGTGATCAGGGCCGCTGCTACACGGCCCAAGCAGGACAGGCACGGGACAGACACGGGACAGACGTAGGACGGATGCAGAAGAGACGCGCAGAGCAGAGAGAGAGGGATACATTACCTTCCTTCATGTTTGCAAACCGCTCCTTCAGCTGGTGATCCACCTCAGGACCAAAGGCAAAGTTATTCACAAATACAACACTGCAAAACAATGCTCCAGTTGAGTGCCAGGTTCTGCGTGTACACGCACAGAGCTGCAGCGCCTCCACCGCAGCGCTGTCCGCACCTCCTCCGCGAGGGGCATGGGCTCAGGGCCCACAGGGTGAGGGCTTTCCCGGGTGCCGCCAACACGGACCCTATAGCCAGGTCCCATGACAAGCAGGCTGCTGGCTCCCTGGGGAAGGCCCGCACCGACACGGGCGTCCCCGAGGCTGGTGCATGGGCAGTACAAGCTGGGCCACCTAGGAACACATGGGTGAGAATGCCTGGGCAGGAAGGTAGCACAGACCCATCAAGCTACACTTGGAAGGGAGCCCACCACCTGAGGGCCCAGCACAGTTTTTCCAAGGCAGGGCCTGGCCCAGGCTTCCTATTTTTCCAATGTTCTCTGGCGTCTGAGGGCCTGAGAAGCTCTGCCTGCAGATGCCCACCAGGCAGTTGGGGGCTGCTGCCCCACCCAGAGTCCCCCACCCCTTGGCCATCCTCTGTCCCCCAGCTCCTGTCCACATGGGGGATCTCCCCCAACCTGGGTTTCCCTCCTCATTTGAATGTGACAAAGTAGTCAGCCGCCTGCCGGCCCCATGCTGCCCCTCCTGAATCTCAGCGAAAGGACAGTCACGGGGCCTGACCAGGGCTAGGACACACTGACCGCTGTGAGAGAGTGGCAGTGGGAGCCCTTAGCTGGGGGCTAAGCTCTCCCAGCCCCTCCTTGGGAAAAAGTGCAGGGACAGCGAGGTTATGAAGGGCAGAACCCTGACGAGACCGGCTGGCTGGGAGGCCTCCACAGGGAGGAGGGACATAGCCTGGGAAGGCTGGATGCCAGGGTCTCGAGGGGACTGGCCAGGAGAGGGCGTGAGCCAGGACAGAGCCTGGGCCGCTCTGACTGGGGTCACCCGCAAGGAGACAAGGCAGCTCCGAGGCCCGTGGAAGTTGGGGTGAGGCCCCTCAGCACAGAGGAGCAGGTTGCGGGGGGACACCTCGACTGGAAGCAGAGTGCCAAGGGCGCCGTCTGGGGACCCGGCAGAGCCTGAGGCCTCGAGGTGCTCCAGGCCAGGTGGACAGTGGGCAGCCAAGGCTGGGGAGTAGGCCCCTCAGCCAGCTTTTCCTCGCCATGACCATGGACCATGGAGTCCAGAAACAGCTGCAGGGCCCCACAGGAGAGGCCCCACAGCAGCTGCAACAGAGTCCCCACACTCAGACAGGGGGGACACTTCAAGCCAGCATGTTCTCTTGAGAAAAGGGGGAGAGCGTGCCCGCTTCAGGGGAGACATCCTCACTGGGATCAAAGATGGGGTCAGATCTCTGTGAGCGAGAAGATAATGGCGGGGCTCAGGGCACCCTGCAACAAGCACGTGTGGAAAGAAGGGAGAGGCGAGTGCTCAAGGTCAGGGAGAACCAGTGTGACCCCCTCCCCTGGTCAGAGCCAAGAGTGTGTGACACACTTGCCCCTTGGTCACTGAGGCCTGGGGAGCCACCAGGTGTGTGAGCACACGGCCCCACGACCAGGGCCAGACACGGCCAGGAGGATGCCCATCAGTCTCCAGCGCAAGAGACATACAGGCGGAGCCACCAGTAAGCTCAGGACAGGTGGTGGTGGCAGTCTGGACGCTGCTGTCCAGCCCAGGGAGGGCGGGGGGCGGGGCTCTGTCTGCTGGTGTGACCCTCAGTGAGGGAAAGCCGCATCACCCCTGCCAGCCCGGCCCCTCGGCCCCACCCCCAGGCCCCGGCCGTACCTTGTGTTAGCAATCCGTTCTCTCCACTCCTCCGAGAGGAAGTCCCCCCTCTCCAGCTGAAAGGAGATAAGAGGGACAGCCCATCACTTGGGGTCTCGCTGCCTCTGTGTCCCACCCCCGTCTGCCCCCCAAGAAGAGATGGAATGATCAGAGGCCCTGACTGGGAGGATGTGGAAAGAGGCCAGGGTCACAGCCAAAGGCTGACCATGCGCGTGGACACAGCTGCCAGAGCACTGGAGAAGGTGCTGGGAAGTCCCAATGCCATGTCCACTCAAGGCCAGCAGGGGGCGCCCCAGGGTGGCCGTGTGCGACAGAGCTGGACTGCAAGGGCTGTGACAGCACTAGGGCACCAGGGTGCAGCCCAGTACCCACACTGCTGCGGGTGGTCTCCCTGTGGCAGGGGCGTCCTGATGCTTCCAGTACCGCTCCTGCCACTGTCTCCCTCAGAGGACTAATCTCATTTTGCCTCGAGGTCAAAGTGCATCTGAGACAACACAAGTCTCGTTAACCTCATTGTCCAGAACTGTAACATTTTACAAACCAAGAAATCTGATTTTATGATTCTTCAAAAAATGTTATCATCCCACCCCCAGTGTCCACCCACGTGAATATCTGCACACCCCTGTCCATGCAGCACAGGTGTGGACAGTGCACGTGTCCCTTGATGGACAAGCAGATACACACATGTCCCCCCACACCCAGGAGCATCCCTCAGAAGCCCTGACACTTGCTACCATGTGGATGGACCCTGAGAACATGATGTTCAGTGAGAGGCAGACACAGAAGGACACACAGGATGTGATTTCACTGATGGGAAACGTCCACAACAGGCAGGATCAGAGGCAGAACACCTTGGGGGAGCAGGTGGGGGTGACTGCTGACGGGCCCTCGTCTGCACTCCCACCAACGCCCCCAGGTGACTGGGAGGCCCTCCAGGCAGCAATGGGGCAGCACCACCCAGCAGGCCTAGCACCCAGCAGAGGTCCTTGCAATGGGCAGTGCCCAGGCAGAGCAGCTGCTAGCTCAGCATCCTCCCTGCACACAGAAACCACCCAGCATGTGAGGGGCTGAGCCCTGCTGGGCAGAAGAGAGGCAGCCATTCTAAAGGGTCCGGGAGCAGGCAGAGGGCTGTCCATGTCCAGGGCATCCATCTCTGGGTCTCCCAAGTCTGCCACCACTCCCTGCAAACAGCCCAGTGGGGCTGGGCACCGATTCAAGTTCAAAATCCTCGTGATGCTGTGCAGGAGAAATCTCATGTTGTGGGCCCAGGGCTGTGTCCTGGGGAGGGTGCTCAGCATCCCCACACTGTCCGTGCAAACTCCTCCCATCTTCTTGGAGTCTGGGGGTAGGTAGGAACACCGGCATGACCGGCACCCAGAAAGAACCCTGGGCACGGGGTCTGTGTGAGGCCCCCAGGGACCACACCTCCCTGGTGCTGTTGGATTTCATCTGGGCACAGGGTCTGCGTGAGTCCCCCCCGGGGACGTGCACGTCACTGGTGATGTCACGTCTTGCCTGAGGGAGTTCAGTGCACCTTACTAAAAGCTCATGCCTGGTCCTGGGACTCACCCACCGCCTCCTTCCTCTATTTGCCCTGTCCTATCTAACACACCAGTCGGTAAGGACAGCCAACTGCTGTGTCCCGGGTTCCCTCAAGCCCAGCCTGATGCGGCTCCTCTCTGTGGGGCTCACCCACCCAAGGAAAACCACTGAAGCCACAGCACCACTGCTCCGCGGTGGCCTCATGCTCAGGGCAAGAAAACAAGCCGTTGTCCCGCCCACCTGGCCACCTGGCTACCTACCACCTCTTGGCACAGGCAGGCCATAACTGGTTGAGGACAGGGACTGACCAGGCCAGCTCTGGGTCACTGGGGCCCGTGTGCCCAAGTTAACAGTGACATGAAGATAAGCACGGCCTTCCTGTCACCCCCACTGAGGACCGTGACTGGCCCAGCTAGCCCAGACCTCCAGCTGCAGAGGAATGCGTGGGGAGGAGGGACACGCACAGCCCCACCCCACACAGGCATGAGGGCTGCCCCGCATGACCACCCTTCCCCCGACCAGGGAGACCCCCAGTGTGCTCCTGCTCCAGGCCACAAACCAGACGGGTGGGCGCACCCCCCACCTCCTATAAGCCACTACACACACCACACAGCACACATGCTCCCCTGCAGAAAGCACTCCCTCCCGGGAGGCCCCCAGGGAGATCCCACCCAAAGCCACAGGGTGGGAGCCAGCAACGGGTGCCCCAGACTCAGTCATCCTGCCACCTGCCCTGGAACAGCCACAGGCGCCGACGCACCACCCAACTGCCAGCCAGTCCCTCGGCAGCTGATGTGTGCTAGGGCCACTGGAGAAGAGCAGGGTTCGCGCTCTGGGAGGCCCGTCAGCAGCAGGCCCCTGCCAGCCTGACCGCACCAGACCGAGGGCAGCCTTGCATGTTGCCACCTGGCCGGGGGCACCTCCTTCAGCAGCACTTCTGAGAACTCACTGCCACCCTAGCACAGGAAACCTGCTTGTGCCAGGCCCGCCACCAGGCACCAATGGTACATGGTCACTCAGATGTCCTCAGGCAAAGGGGGCACCCTGAGGTGCTGGGGGCACAGGGAGGGCCCAGGGCTTTGACAGGAAGAGGGGACTCAGGAGGAGACTCCAGTGCCCGCAGGTAATCAAGTTGGCTGGGGTATCTGCTGTCCCTTGTCTATCATCAAGTGATGAAGGCAGGACTCCACCTGCCGACCAGGGCGCCTGCTTGAAGCCACACAGAACCTCGAGGAGGACCTCCCCAGACCCAGCATGTGAGCTCCCGCCAAGTCCAGGAGTTGGGTAGGAGTTGTCACCACGCCTTCCTGGAGCAGGGCTGCCTGGACACCAGAGGCACTGCTGGCTGCCGCTCCAGACACGGCAGCCAAAGCCACGACTTAAGAGTCCTCAGAGCCAAGTTCTGCTTGCAGCCACCTTGCGGGGCCTAAGAGCAGGGCCCTGATGAGTGCCTGGCCCTCAGGAGGCAGAGAACAAGAAGGTTTCCACGCAGGGGGCCCCACAGTGCACCAGCTGACATGCCACCAACCCCTCAATCCCCCTCCTCTAGAATTGCACGGCCTCCGGATGTCGACAAGAGAGGGAGGAAGGAGCGGTGCCCACCAGGCAGGCAGCCCACCAGCCTCACCCCTACCTTGGCCTCCAGCCATGGGTATCGTGCCAGCAGCTAGAACCACACTATGAATCAAGCACCGCAGGCCGCTGCGGGTCCATGGGGCATTCTGGGGCCTGAGTCAACCAGGCTTTTACACCACATGTTTCAACCATTTGGCCCTCTTATCAGAAGCAGGAAGCACTTTATAATTTTAAAACCCTGTGTTTTAGGAGGTTGTGAGGTCTTAGGAAACCGGCAAGCCATCCAGGAACTCTTATCGGCATGCCAGTGGGACTGGGGACAGGACAGGAAGAAGTTTCTCGGAAACAGAAATGAACTGGACTAACTTCCCTCAGCCTGAGCAACAAACACTAGAGAACTACAGGTGTGGGAGGACACAGGGGCCAGAGGTGACACCCCTCACCTTTCACTGAGGGGAAGAAACCTATAAGAAATTCCACCAAGAGAAAGGGGAGGGGAGTTGGGCCCACACTGCAGATGGGCAAGTCCTGGCCCAGGGAAAACAGGGCAGAAGCAGAGGGCGATAGCTGACCTTGCGACATGGGGTCAGCATCACCTGGACGGCAAAGTCAGACTCACAAGACAAGGAAACCAGTATCCCCCTGGGCTGCAAATACCCACAACAAAAAGGAGCTATTCACAAGGTCAGATGGAGTTGACCTCAGGCCTGGAAGGCTGGCTCAACCTTTAAATCTTCTATTCTATGGAGTAAAACGAAAACAATCAACAACCACAACCACAACAGTCACCCAGAAGTAACACCAGCAACTACAGCAAGGCTGCAGATAAAGGCCTTATCATCTGTTAACTGACCACAGACAAAGTCAACTGCTCACCTCCCCAAGTAGCCTCAAGGAGGCAGGAGAATGAGGCTGGAGGCCTGAAACTACTCGACTCTGGGCTGACTCCCACAATGCTGTCATGTTGGGGGGAGGCGGCAGCGTGGAGCAGAGCAGAGCAGAGCGCCCACTGAGTATGGCTGCTTGTGACACAACGGAGATGGCTCAGCAGACGGGGCAGTCTCTGCAGCAGATGGCGTGGGGCGGCTGGGCGTCCACTCAGAGAGAGATGAATCTAGACCAGACCTCACACCCCTCGAGAATCACCCAAAAGAAACCACAGACCTAGAGAGGAACTGCACAATCAAGGACCACCTACAAGATATCTTAAATTCAGGTGAGCTGAGACTGGACTTTCACATCAATACTGAGGGTGCAATCCCTGAAAGGAGAACCAGTCAGGTGGCTCCAGGGCCAAAACCCCCTCTCTCCTGCTGGCCCCCCACCCCCTAGAATCACACGCACCATTCTATTCCCTGAGGCAACAAGGAACGCTAGCTCTGGCCCCACAGCCCCCGTCCCCCAGAACCCTCAAGAGCAAGACATGAGCAATGTTAGGAACCTTCGGAGGGACCAGGAAGACCACTTTGCAGCCAGGTGGAGCTTGAGGCCTTGGGGGACCTGGGATGGGAAGTAAAGTGTGTGCTGAAGAGCCGGTTTGGGACCTTCCCCCTGCAATGCCCCGGCCACAGTCCTGCAGGTAGAGGCTGCATGGCAGCCCTATGTCCACAGGCCACTGAAACCTGCAGTGGCTGACAAAGCCCTGAGCACAGAACGTGCTGGAGCTGAGAACATGGAGTTGGACAGCCCAGGCAGGAGCAGAGAGAAGCCAGAACATCAGGATCCAGGAGCAAGACCCAAAGAACCTCGGCGTTGAAGGCCGAGCTGACGGATGCAGGGAGAGGGGCACAGGGGCAGCAGCACCAGGCCAGCTCTTTGGTGGGGCCTTACTGCTGCGGGGGTGGGGGGGGGGCAAGCAGGAGAAAGATGCCCTTGGCCAGCCCACACCCCACCACCCCCACATGTGGTCCTGAAAGAGCCGGTGCTCCCGAGGCCTCGTTGGGTGCCCGAGGAAGAGAAGTGGGGCAGAGTGCAGGGCCAGAGGAGTCGACTGCCTACAAGACCCACAGCAAGGAGGATGCAGGTGGCCAGGAGGCAGTGAAAGTGGTGGGGAGGGGGCTCCGGGCAGGGAAAGGAGGGGGCGGCGGGTCAAGGGAGGCGGCGCAGAGGGCGGGGCTGCACCCTTAGCCGGGGGGCATGGAGCGATGGCACTCACTGTGTATTCTGCATGCTTTTTTCCATACCATTTCATCCACTTCCTGAACTCTCGGTCCATGGTCTGCAAAGAGCCAAACCAGACAGCCCGTCAGGGACCCGGTGGCCAGGAGGGCACCCCTGTCCTCCCCGTGCCCGCCCCGCTCCAGGGTTCCCGGCAAAGGAGCCTGACTGCAGGGAACCAGAGTGGGCAGGCGTGCAAACCACAAACTCTAAACGGTTTCCCATGGCGACAACACCACTCAGACGCGCACTCCTCAGACCTTGCTGCCTCCTCTACCCCAACCCCCAGCAGACGCTGGCACAAGGGTGATGCCAGCTGACCCCCAGTGCCAGGGGAACCAGGGGACACGGCCGCAACGGTCTTTCAGGGACACATGAAGCAGGGACCCCCTCCCCCACCTTCCCTTAACCCCAGCACAGACTGCCCGCTATCCTGCAGGTCACTGCACACCAAGGCTGGAAACAAAAGCAACACAGATGTTGCCGCGCCCGGGGCCCAGAGCCACTCACCTCCGCGTACTTGGCTGGGATGTCAGCTTTCTCTACACCATAGTGATGTTTGCAGTTGGTGGCCGCAGCAACCTGCAGCACGACCTGGCCCACCCCTTGGGGTGGGGGGGGGAGAGAGAGGTGTCAGATGCACAGCAGGACACATCCAGCCGCAGGGGCCATGACTACAAGACTATCAGGCAGAGGCCACAGCCTCTCGGCCAAAGTCCCCAAGTGCCCTCTGGGGTCAGAGAATGTGTTCAAATGCCCCAGGCCATGGGCTGAGCACCACTCCTACCCCCACCCCAGCTGTGCTCCATTTCATTACAAAGATGCTCTATGACCACCCAACTGGGCATTCACTGTGTACACGCGGACACAGCCTCTGGGCACAGTGACCCCGGGAGGAAGCCCCCCCTCAACCAATGAACCATGTTCCACCATCCGCCTGAGTCAGGAGCAGCCCAGAGTGGTGGCGGGAGACCCCGCACAGCACACACCCGCAAGACAAGGCAGGATCTGTGGGCACTTAGCTCACAGACAAAGGAGGCTTCTGAAACCGTCCCTCCTTGAACTCAGGCCACGTGCACTTAAAAGTGTCAGGAGCCCCAGGAGTTCCCATTTTGAACAGAATAGAGTTCAAAGATGGAAACAAGCCTCTATTCAGAAACACAGGGTAAACAGCGAGAGGACATGGGGTCCCTCCCGGGGGACAGGAGAAGCTAGGGGACCTGGGGTCTGAGGAGGCTGGCAGTTTTCAGAAATCATAAGCCTTCTGACACACAGGAGAGTTTTACAGGTTTTTCTAGAAATGACCTTTGACCATGTGCACGCTTATTAGAATATGAATTGTACACTTAAGAGTTTAAGCCAATGACAATACCACCAGAGAAGCCACCTTTGTCTGTCTGCAGGGCCCTTCTCGAGTGTCGAGGCCATATGGGACGGGACCTTGGGGTCTGTGAGTAGGTTATGGGGGGCAGTGGAGACCCCAGAGTGCTGTGCTTGGGGTTCCTGACGGAGCAGCCCAACCACAGGCCAGGGAGCCCCTTGGGCAGCCTGTCACCTGCACAGTCCCACCAGGACAACTTGGCCCGTGGCTTCTTCATTCAGGCAACATGGCACACCCATGGGCGCCTACCAGGACCCAGCCCCCAGAACCTCTCCTCATGAGGAGGCCATCCTGTAAGCACAAGGAGTGGGGGAAGGGGTAGGGGGGAAGAGCCCCCACCTACCACTGCCCAGGTCCACGAACAGGTCATCTTCGGTCATCTTGATCTCATCGATCATCTGGGCGACCAGGTCGAAGGAGGTCTCCCCATACACCTCTGGGGAGAAGGGCTCATAGTTGTTGAGCTTCTCAGGGTCGGTCACTGAGTGGTTGTAGACCTGCTGCAGGATGTGCCGCAGGAGCCCCGTGGACGGCCGTGTGTTCAGCTTCATGGGCTGTGTGGTGCCCTTCCACTGCGACAGGGCACACACACAGTTTGCAGGGCCATACCACCCAGCCCACTGCCCCACCCCAGTGGGGACACGAGTGCGCAGGAGCGTGTGTGAGCCTGCATGTGAATGCCAGTGGTGCGAACCTACGTGCCTGTGTGTAGATGGAGTGTGTGTGTGTGTGTGTACAGATGTGTGGGGGCGTGCCCCACCAGCTGGTCTGTCCTGGAGCCCAGAGTGCCCGTGGGGGAGAAGCACCAAGAAGGTTCCCTGTCACTGGCTGGCTCAGCATGGTTCCCAGGGCATCCATAAGGGCCGGGATCGCCTGGCAGGCAATGTGGCCAGTTCAGCCCCAGCCATCTACATCAACACAGTTCCGGCCCCGGGCCATAGGGTCCACATCCTGGGACACTGCAGACCCCACACCATGACTTGATGGGCAAGGAGGGGGCCTGAACCACAGCTCGGGGAGCTGAGACAATGAGACAGGTCTGAGGTGAGGGTGAAGGCCACCTACCAGCTGGTGGATGCTGTCGATGGCCCGGTTGTACTTGTCACAGAGCCTCTGCATACTCTCAAAGCTAAAACAAGCAAGGGAAGGCACTGGTCACTTCTGGGCTCAGGACAAGCCACCAGGCCTCAGGAGAGGGGGCAGAGGCCATGGGGCAGAGCCTCAGTTCACTGTGCCCTGAGGGCTCAGGTGAGGAATGAGCTTCACAGCTGTTCACAGAACAAGGCAGGCAGCCCAAGGCTGGCCTCACCCCCCACCTGTAGATGCAGCAAGTCCCGCTGTCCCAGGGCTGGGGGACAGCTGGGTGCCAAGGGCCACTGCAGGCAGGGAGGGCTCCTGGCTCTGCCAGTCGGGTGGGAGGGAATGACAGTCAACACCCGATCCTGCAGATGGGGGTTAGCACCCGCCTTCCTGCAGGTGTGGCTTCCATTTACCTAATAGTGTGAACTGCTGACACTTGCTCAGATACAAGCGTCCGTGTCAGAGATCCAGCGAGGCAGTCGTCGACCTGGCTTCTCCCCACACCAGGGGGTAGTGTTCAATGGGAGCCCCCAACCCAGGTTCTCCCAGAGTTATCTGGGGCATCCATGTTTGTCAGTGCCAGCACTGGGCAGCCCAATGCCTACCGCACGAAGGGTTTGCCCTGGCGTCTGTGCTGCACGGAGGAGGGGGCAGTCACTTGGGGCATGTCTCCTAACGCCACCCACATGCTGGGGAGCAAGACAGCTTCTCCCCAGTGAGCACCAAGAGCCCGGGAACCCCTGAGATGTGTGCAGAGACATGGGGGGGGGCACCCACCCACAGCCTCTCTAGACCTGCATCAAGACCCCTCAACCCTGAGCCCTGGTTGGACCCCAAGAGCTTAAGTGCACTTCCTTTTCTAACAGAAGCAAAGGGATCTAAACGGACCCGTAACCACATGGCATGTTCAGTCTCTGAGAATAGCAGCAGAAGTTGAAAAGCCAGAGACCTTGAGAACAGGAAAGAGTAGACGTGGGCGAGGCCAGTGAAGCCTCACATAGACAGACAGCGAGGGGACACATGGCTCTAATACACCAGAAGCGGGCTGACATGATGAGGTGGGAAACCCATTCTGGAGGAGCTAAGTGTATGCTCAGGGGAGGAGTCCAGTCCAGTGCCAGCCCAACAGGAACCCTGGGAACACAGGCCAGTAGTGGGCGGCCAGGGCAAGTGCCGACACTCCTGTCTCAGGGAGCCGTCCTTAGGGACAGAACACGCGCTAGACCCTGATTCCTTCCTTGTGCTCCAGCTTCCATGTCCCCGTCAGAGCCCCTGACTACACCCCGACACACCTTCTCCTGGGAGGATGCGCACAGGGAGGCACAGCGCGAGCGCCTGGCACCTGGGCCCTGCCGTGCCGGCCCTGCCCTCACACACCCCTGCTCGGGGCAGGACTCTGAGGTCATATGGGTTGCAGGGGGTGGGGAGTCGCCATCAGACTGCGCCTTTCCTCTCCCAGCCCTGAGTCCTTTCAGTCTGCTTAAGAGCGCTGAAACCTCCCCTCCCATCCCCCCACAAGCACCTTGGAGCAGAAGCGCCTCTCAACACTCCACTGCTCGAGCCAGGCACTCGGCCCTTGACCACCAGGAAACATGAACCGTGTGGATCTCAAGACCGACAGACGTTCAAGGTTAGCGTCCACAGGCACCTGCACCCTGGAGTCAGGCCGACGCCTGCACCCAGCCACCTGAGCCCGTAACGGCCACCTGTGCCAATTATCGGACTGGGAGGAGGTGGGAAGTGAGGGGAAGGGACTAGGGCTGACTGAGTCCAGCAAGTCCTCCAGACACAGGAGTGAGACCACGCGGCCTGCACGGGGACCGCAGGCGCCTTGGGGCCACCTTCTCTGTGAAGAGCAGTCACCTAGGCCCATAGCCTGCGAGCTATAAGCAAGCCTGCCAAGAACTGAAAGAGGCAGGAGAGTCTCTCAAAGAAAAACAAAAAGAAATTCCAGGCAGGCATTCCAGACTCGGCCTCACCCTTCCCCACCCACAGGACTCTTCTAGGAGATCCAGGATGTGCCTGAGGAAAACTGCAGGGAGCGGCCAAAACCATATGAGACCTGGCTAGAGCTGGGGGCTGAGGCGTGAGAAGCCAGGCCAGCGACAGCAGTCACTGCCGTGGAGAGAGCAGCTCCAGCTTTACACACGCCGATCCCACTTTCCAATTATGTCCTCACTCCGACAGCCTCTGCCAATATTTGATAAACATTTCCTACCAAAATAACTCCATGATGGCTATAGCCAAGTCTAAAAGGAAACTTCCCATCAGCCTGTAGTGTCGAGGAAGGTCTAAATTTAGGCTGTGTCCACACACGCGGAGCCCGTCCCTGGTGGAGATGCAGCCCTGGCACAACTCCGCTTACCTTTTGGTATCGTAGTCAATTAAAACGTAATTCTCCATAGCAAGCTTGAGATCCGGGATTTCTTCACAGACCCATCTGAAACAGAAAGGAAACCAGTATCAGTGCTCTATCTTCTACTCTCAATGCTGTTCTTAAACACTGTTGACTCTGCAAATACAAAAACAAAACATCCTGGCTACTCAACTCAAAATGTGAGAGTGGAGGGAGGCGTGACTTCAAAACAAACAATGTAGAGTTTACGACATGTCCTTAGAAGGATGCTGTTCTTATGAATTACACAAGTTTGAAGGTGCTTCACGCTTAAACAACACTGGCCATTGAGAGCTCAATGGATTTAACGTGTTACAGGGTCTAGGACACCAAAGACCTTAAATCAGAGAGTCTGAAAAGCAACACGTTGACCAGAAACAAAAGGGAACAATTATTTGAAAAATTAACTAATCCCAAGACAAACAAGAGGGTTTCTACAACCCCCGGACTTCTCTGGTGGTCCAGTGGTTAGGACTCGGTGCCTTAACTATTGAGGGCCAGGGTCCAGTGCCTGGATGGGGACTAAGATCACCCCCACAAAAAATGAAAACAAACAAACAAAAGATACTGCAATGGGAAAAAAGAGATGGAGGGGGAACCTGCTAATCCCAAGGTGTAACCCTGACTGGATCCTGATATAATCTTGAGAAAAATTGTGAAAGAGGAGTCATCATGACAGAGCTTACAGAAAATAAAAGGAAAATAAGGGATATTATGAAAAACGGCATGTCAATAAACTCAACAACTTAGAAGAAGCAAATAAATTCCTTAAAAGATGCCAATTACCAAAACCAACACAAGAAGCCAAACACCTGAACAGGGCGACACCTGGCACAGAATGTGACGTGACTTTCTCCCAGAAAGAGACTCCCAGGCCACAAAGCTTCGCCGGCGACTTCTGCCAACCACTGGAGAAGTGACACTGACCCTTCTCAGCTTGGGGAGGCCAACGGTGCCATACCACCAAAACCAGAGGACAAAGCCTTGTAAAGATGCAGCTGTTAACCTGGTAGCCCTCAAAAATACAGACACAAAACTCCTCTAGAAATGTAAGCTGAAGTCAGCAAAACATCTTATTCCAGTGTTTATCCCAGGAATGGAAGGTTGTTTAACACTCTAAAACCAGTCACTGTAATTCACATCACCGAGAGAATAAAGGAGAAAAAAAATCATACAATTGTCTCAACACTTGCAGAAGACACACATGATGATATCAGTTTCTATTCACAATAAAAACTCTCAGGAAACGGGAGTGGAAAGAGCCACCCTCCACGTGATGGAGGGGCAGGGAGGGCTGGAGGAGCTGCTGTCCCTTCGCTGTGGGCTCTGCCAGGAGGGGCCCAAGGAGGCCAAGGGCTGGAAAGCAGGGAGGGGCAGTTCTCTCACCGTGTGCGCCCGCTCACCCCGGGGACCCTCTGACACACACACTGGCCCTCGCACTAGGCAACCAGAGCTCAGGGGTCTGGCTCCCCTCTCTGCAAGACCCACCCACAGTCCCTGGGGCTGGCTGGGCAGTGCCAGTTCCCTCAGACCCAAGGGAACCCAAGTCATTGTCCCCATGTCATCAGTCTCTCTCTCTTGAACCCCCTCGGGCCTTCGGAGCAGAGACCTCTACCTCTGGCGAGCGCTTCTCCAGCACATCTGCTTTCCTTGGGAGGGCATCCACACCCCAGTGGCAGGGAAGGACTGGGACCTCCAGCCTTCTACCACAGGGCCCGGACAGTGTCACACGGCAGGAAAAACCAACCAACAGCACAAAGGCCAGGAAGGAAGAAGCAAAACCATCCCTCCGTGAGGAGGGATGCCACACAATTCAGTACATGGGCCAACCTGAAGAGTTTATGGAGAAGCTACCAGAACTCGTGTGGGTTCAGCAAGGTCACAGGATACAGGTCAACTGTACTTACAAATGCCAGCAACAAAGAATTTAGAACAAGAGAAGTTTTATATGTTATTTAAAATAACATTCAAACATAAATACTTAGGGATGATCTTGACTTCTACACTGAAAACAACAAAACACTGCTGACAAAAATTAAAGGCAACATAAATAAATACACAAACAAAAAATGCTTGCAAAATATAAGACTAAATACTGTTTGTTTGTTTTTAAGACTAAATACTGTTAAAGATCCTCCTCAAACTAAACTGCAAAGTGATTCCTCTAAAAAAGTTCAGTTAGGCTTTTTTGGAAACAGACAAACCAATTCTCAAACTGACATACAAGGGCAGAGAATCTAGAAGAGCCAAAATAGTCTTTAAAAATAACAGCACTGGGACTTCCCTGGTGGTCCAGTGGCTAAGACTGTGCTCCCAATGCTGGGGTGGCCGGGGTTCCGGCCCTGGTTGGGGAAATAGATCTCATACACCAAAACTAAAGATCCTGCATGTCACCATGAAGATCGAAGATCCCTTATGTTGCAAGTAAGACTCAGCACAGCCAAATACATAATACATATATATATATTTTAAAAAGCACTGTTGCAAAATTCACACTGCCTTGATTTGAGATGTACTGTAAATCTACAGTAACCAAGAGTGTGACAGTGGGATTTTCCTGGTGGTCCAGTGGTTAAGACTTTGCCTAGTGCAGGGGGCAAGAGTCAGATCCCTGATCAGGGAACTAAGATCCCACATGTCACAGGGCAACTAAGTCCACATGCTGCAACAACAGAGCCCATGCACAGCCAACAGAAAAAAAGAATGAGTGTGGTATTGGCAGAGAGGTGAACAGACAGATCAACCATACAGGATATGGAATCCAGAAATAGACTAAATTTTTTTTTTTAGACTAAATTTTAACAAATAATTTTTGACCAAAGCACCAAGGCAATGTGATGGGGAAAGGAATATTTCAATAAATGAGGCTGGAAGGATTGAATATTGAATGGGAAAAAAGAATCCTGACCCCCATAAACACAAACCCACATTAGACACAAAGATTAATTCACAATTGATCTTAAAACCTGGATGTAAAACCTAAAACCCCAGACCTTCCCCCCAAAAACAGGAGGCTAACTGCCTGACTGCAGGTAAGGTTCCTGGCTATGCCCCAGACAACTAACCATCAAAGAATGAGTTGATAAGTCAAAAACTTCATCAAGATGCCATTAAAGTCACGGTCAGTCATGCTTTTCTCACAGGACACTCGCAGCCACAATATGTTAAGAATCGCTACAACTCAATAAGAAGACAAACAACTCAATCTCTAAAAAGCAGCACAAACTCCTCTCCAGGGGAGGAGACCAGAGCTCTCTGGGGAAGCAGCCAACTCGGGCTGGGACATAGCAAATTCAAGGTGGCCGTGGAGCATCTTGGGGTTCCAGATAGTGAGGCTGTGCTGGGAGCGGGGAGGGTCAAGTCAAGGGGCCAGAGCACAAATCCAGAGAGCCCCCCGGGCCAGCACGGGAATGACTGAGGAGCAAAGCAGGTACAGCAGAAGTGGGCTAGGACCCACAGGATGAAACCAGTGCCTACGGGGAACAGCCCTTCCTCCCAAAAAAGCTCCAACGACTAATGGGGCAAGGGAAGAAGGCAAAACAGAAGAGCCTTTCAAATGCCCTGGTAACTAGTTCTCAGCAGTGAGATTCACTTCTGGATCCTACAATCAGTTGCAAAAGTCCAAGAAGAAACAGGTCTCTGCACAGTCTCCAAGGATTTCTCCCATGATTTTTATTAATTAAAAAGGGGAAAGCAGGAGCTTCCCTGGTGACTCAGTGGTAAAGAATTCACCTGTCACTGCAGGAGACACAGGTTCGATCCCTGATCCAGGAAGCTCCCACATGTCACTGAGCAACTGAGCCCATCTGTCACAACTACTGAGCCTGTGTCCTACAGACTAGAAGCTGCAACCACTGAAGCCCAAGAGTCCTAGAGCCCATGCTCCGCAACAAGAGAAGTCACCACAATGAAGAACTTGTCACTGCAACTGGAGAGTAGCCCCCATTCTCCACAGCTAGAGGAAAAAAGCCCTCACAGCAATGAAGACCCAGCAGAGCCCAAAATTAATAAATAACTTTCCAAAAACTGGAGAAAACAGTAACTTTACATTAAAGAAACCTGGAAGACAGCACTTCACCACAGTAAGGCATGCAGACGCCACAAGCCTCTTGCTGGGCTTAGAGCTCTTACCAGCAACACTTTTCTGCACCCATTCCATGCTATCTGGAAGGAGACCACACATGACATTTTCATCCATAAGTATTTCAGTATTAAACTGTAGAAGCTTTGGCCTTTTTCTTTATTTTTCAGCCTAACAATGATGCAACTGTTACACCTAGGGAAAATGCCACCAGGAATAGTAGAGCATGTTCTCAAACTTGTACTGGGCGTCTGTGAGCTAACGTCACCTCCAAGGTGGAAGACTAAATCTAACATCCCTGCCCCAGACATGAGGGAAAAGATAAGAATGCAACCTCCTCCCACTTTATCACAAAACAGTCTCAAAGGTCCCAGCCAATTCAGTAATGCCAAGAAAAAGAAATAACAGGTGATACAATTATTTTTATTTCCACAGCAAGTCCCAGGAAATGTACAAAACTACTACTAGAATTGATGAATTGAGCACAAGGTCATGGTTAACATACAAATATCAATTGTATTTTACCCACAAGTAACAGACAAACAGCACATGAAATTTAACACACAATCCCACTTAACAGTAGTGCCAAAAGCATGAATGAGCTAGGAATAAATCTAACAAATGGTTGTCCAAGACCTCCATGCTGCAATGCCAGAGCGCTGCCAAGAGAAGAGCTGAAAGGCCTGAGCAAGCAGAGACCCATACCATGTTCATGGACTGGAAGACTCAAGTGTGATGGCAAATCTCTGCAAAATGACCTACAGATTCAATACAATTCCCAAATAAATTGTGCAAAAATCAACAGGCTGATTCTAAAATTTACGTGGAAATGCAAAAGAGGTGAAATAACCAAAGCAACTTAAAAAGAAGAATAAAAATGGAGGACTTCCTGTGATTCCAAAGCTTACCATAAAGCTGTGGTACTGCCCAAAGGACAGAGCCGTGTGTCAGTGGCACTGCAAGAGATTCTAGAAAGAAAGCACCTCATACACTGTCAACTGATCTTCCACAAAGGTGACAAGGAAATTCCAGAGAGAGAGGACAGTTTCATCAACAAATGCTGCTGGAACTGCGGGACACTCACATGCGAAGCAACAGGCCTCAACCATGCTCTGCACCTCATGTAAAAGTTCACTCAGAGTGGAAAAAAAAAAAGTTCACTCAGAGTGGATAAAAAGATGTAAATGTAAAACCTAAACCATAAAACTTCCAGAAACCATGGCAGAAAATCTTTGTGACCTCAAGTTAGGCACACATATCTCAGCATGCAAAAAGCTGCAAATTATAAAAGAAAAAAGTTGATAAATTAGACTTCTATCAAAATTTAAGATATCTGCTCTTTAAAAGACACTCTTATGAACATGAAGAGACAAGCCACAGACTGAAAGAAAATATTCACAAAACACATACCTAATAAAGGATAAACCGAATGATAACAAATGCTCAAAATTCAATAATCAAAAAACAACCAGTTTCTTTAAAACCAGGCAAAAGACAATGAACATCATTAACTATTAAGAAAATTCTCATTAAAACCACAATGATACTACCACAGGACTCAAACTGGACCAGCAAAAACGACCCTGTTAACATGCCCTGCCAACGTGGGAGTCACAGGAACAGTCCTGAACAGCTGCCTGCAGCTTGGAAGGGGCAGCCTTCCTTCAAGCACAATCCAGCAGCCTCATTCCAAGGTATTTACCCAGAATGAAGGAAGACACGTCCACACAAAGACCTCCATGGAGTGTTTACAACAGCTTTATTTACAACTGCCAAAAATCAGAAACCACCCAAACGTGTCTGTCATCTGGTGAAAGGATGCGCCAATGGTGCACTCCTCAGGAATAAGAAAGAAAAGCCTTTGACACACTTTTAAAAAATGTAAAATTCTAGAAAATGCAAAGTAATCCACAGCAACAGAAAGCAGGCTGGGCTGCCTAGGGACAGGAGTGGAGGGAGGGGGCTGACAGGGGGCCCAGGCAAACAGGGGTGACTCCTTCTCACAGAGGTACAAGGGGAAACCCACACATCCACACTGGCCAGCATGCTCACTCCAAACAGGTGGTCTCCCTCCTGTACTTCAGTCACACCTTGACTGTCCCAGGAAACACGCGGAAAAGGAGGAAAGTGGATGGCGGCACAGGTAAAACAAACGCCAGGCTGGGTGACGGGCACGTGGGCTTGTCACATACACTGTCCATTTCTGGGCATGTCAGAAATCCTCCAGGAAGAAAAGTAAGATAAGAGAAGAAACTAAACAGGTGGCTGCCATCTTTACCAGTGGGAAAAAGCCAGCTGTGGAGACAAGAGGGAAGGAATGAAGTAGCCTGTAGACTTGAGGATGGGGAGCCGGCCCTGCCAGACCCGGAGAGGACCCAGTCACCTAGAGGTTCCAGAGAACCTGGTTCTGGCTGGCCAGCTGCACCGAGTCCTACTGCCCTGCACCACAGGGGCACTCCCTCCCTGCAGGAAGAAGCAGGTAATGAGGCCAATCCGCCCCCAGAACTCGCTCGGCCCAAGGGAGGTGGGGGGGGGGAACCCAGGCTGGCCAACTTGGAGCCCCTCGTCTAACCACATGGCCTCACTTCCTGACTGACACATGTGGGTGCTCAGTCGCTGTCATGTCCGACTCTCTTGCGATCCCATAAACTAGAGACCGCCAGACTCCTCTGTCCATGGGATATTTTTTCAGGCAAGAAACTGGAGTGGGGTGCCATTTCCTCCTACAGGATATCTTCCTGACCCAGGGATTTAACTCATGTTTCCCTCATCTCCTGCACTGGCAGGTAAATTTTTTACAATGAGCCCCCTGGGAAGCCCCTAACTGGTAGCCTTCTTTAAAAATGAACTAAACTAAGCCAGTCATAGCACTACTCCACCAACCAACTGGTTTGTGGATTACACTATTAAAAAATGTAGATCCCACATTCTCAGCACCACCCCAGTCAGGCCCACCCTGTGAGAGGCAAACAAGACTTCACTCAGTCTCCCAGACAATCCTGCACAGAGGCCCGGCTCGGCCCCGAGACTGAAGCAGACGCGCTCAGGAGGCTGAGCCACTTGGCTGCTAGGGGCAGGACGAGGCCTCCTCCACAGGGCACTGCCAGCCTGGCCACTGCAGATTTGAGAGGATATAACGGCACGAGGGAGGTGCCGGAGCCAGGAGAGAGTGGTCACAGAACGCCGAGCCTTGGTCACTCCAGAGGCCATCGCAAACGCTCAGGTCCAGTGTGAGGAGGACGCCCACCAAAAATACCGCAGGGGCCTTCCTCCTGGAGCTGCCCAGGTCAGCCTGCCAGGTGCCTGCCCTCCTCCACACAAGGGGTGGGCTCACATGGGGAGGAGTGGCCCAAACCCAACCCCCCATGACAGGAGAGGAAAGCAGTGATGAGGGGAAGGGGAGGGGGCCTGTGGGAACCTGTCACTGGGGATTCCACCCCTGCCCACAGGAAGCTCACAAAGCACCAGGCCCTGTGCTGGGTCACACCCAGGCACCTGAGCCCTGACCCCAGTCACAGTTTCCCTGGGTTCGCCGTGGTTGGAGGAACAGGAAGGCTGACATGTGGGGGCTGAAAGCAAGGGCCAGGAGCCTGGGGTGAGAGTCAGAGTGCACGGCTAGGTGCTGGGGCCCACCTGAGGCCCCATCCCCAGGCCCCACCCCAGCAGGTGCCACACTCACCTGATGGTCTCGATGATTTCATGAGCAGCATCATGGTGTTTGTCCTGAAAGACAATGGGACAGGGTTTAGAGCCGTCCCTCCAGCCTTGGTGACAGTGGCAGCCAGAGGAGGCAGGTGCTCCAGCCCCCAGGCATTCCCACCTCATTTCCCCACCCATGGCACTGGGATCCCTGCCACAAGTGGCACGCCGGCCTTGGGGGTACCCAGCAGGCAGCAGAGAAGGGAAGGGGCTGGGCCAGAGTTCAACCTCCAACCCTCCTTTCCCAAGGCTCTCCTGGGCACTCCTGCAGCCTGGCAGCCACAGGCTCTGAGTCCCTGACCCTCTGCAGGCCTTGGCTTCCATCTGTAAAATGGGAAACAAGGGTCCTGTCACTGCCGGGAGTGGGTGAGCAGCCTTCATCCTGCCCGGCCACAGCAGTGCCCTCCCAGCCTCTCTTCCCAACGGGCACATCACAGGTCGCTCTGGCCTTTCCCTGCAGTCTCAGCACCCAGCGAACTGGACACCTCGCAGAAACCCAGGGAGGACTTCCAGTGGTTAAGACCCCGTGCTTCCAATGCAAGGGGCGTGGGTTCAATCCCTGGTCAGGGAACCAAAATCCCACATGCTGTGCAGTGTGGCCAAAAAAATACGAGTGAGGGTGCGTGCACGGACGTCTATAACTCGCGACCCCACTTTCACTCCAACCTCGGTGAGGAGGGCCAAGAAAAGCACGGACTGAAACCGGAAGTGAGGTAAGAGACCCAGAGCCACCAGCCCTGCCTGGGACAGCAAACACCCTTCTCAGCCCAGGGCACCATTTCCCAGCTTCATGATGGAGGACAGCCACGAGGGCAGGTCGCAGGTCAGGGCCCCACCCAACTCAGCACTCCAGAACCACTTTCACGGCCCTAGCCTCATCGGTGTTTAACAGCAGCTCTACTGAGGGATAACTCACACAGAACAGACCCCGCTTCGAGTGTGCAACGTGGTGGAGTCAGTACACTCAGGGTTGTGCAACCAGCACCTCTGTCTAGCTCCAGAACATTCCTTCACCCCATCAGCAGATAGGCCTCCCCTTAGCCCCTGAAAACACTAATCCACTCTCTGTCTCTATGGACTTGCCTGTTCTGGACATTTGTGAATAGAATTTCAATATGTGACCGTTTGCCCAAAGTCTTAGTTTTTAAGGCAAAGGACAAAATCAACCTTCTATCATGAATATCCTCCAACTTACCAAGGATGGAGCAGTAAACATTCACCAAACTCCTATCACTTAGACAAGGCGGGGCGGGAGGTGGAGTGCGTGCCGTCCAACACTGGACAGTCCGGCAGATCAGTGGCTCCTGGCATGGGGTGCCCAAGCCCCAGCATCACCGCCGCTGACCCAACACCTTGGGGAAGAACCACAGGTGGGAGCAACAGGCCCCAACACCTCATGGCAAACATCAGAATGGTGGGGGCAGCTGGTAGCTCCTCAAAAGGTGAAACAGGCCCCCCTCAACACAGCAATTCATCTCTGGGTGTCTGCCCAAAAGAAGTGAGCACATACAACCACAGCCCCAAACTGGAAATCACCCAAACAACCACCGACAGGTGAATGAATAAACAGATGTGTCCCTCCATGCATGGGAGCATCATTCGGCCTCGAAAAGGAGAGAAGCCCTGACCATGTGGACGGACCCTGAGGACACGATACTCAGTGAGAGAAGCAGACACAGAAGGACACACAGGGTGTGATTCCACTGATGGGAAACGTCCAGAACAGGCAGATCCACAGACACAGAGAGTCGGTTCCTGGTTGTCAGGGGCTGGGGCAGGAGGATGGGGGGATGTTGATGGAGATGGGGTTTCTCCCTGGGGCGATGGAAAGTTCTAAAATTAGTAGTAGTGATGACTGCACTCAGTGCACAAACCACAGAACAGCATGCTTGGGGCAGATGAGTTGCATGGTGTGGGAATTATACCTCAATAATGCCATTAACAGGGAATTCCTTGGTGGTGTCTACGCTCTCACTGCTGAGGGCCCAGGTTCAATCCCTGGTCGGGGAGCTAAGATCCCCCAAGTCATGTGAGGTGGCAAAAACAAAATAATAACAACAAAATGTCTGGGAGTAGATGTGATATACTGTTAAAAGCACCCCCAACCTCAGCAGGAAAATCCTGAGTCTCTGGGATGCTCACAGGTCAACAACATCCAGGAAGTAAAGTCCCCACAGCCCTGGCAGGCATCCCCGGGCCCCTACAACACAGACAGCAGAGACAACACTACACTGTCCTGAAGGTCCACTCAGAGACAAGCTCATACGGACAGTGCACAGGGTCGTGGGGCAGCCACGGAATGAGGGGGACAGTCTGGGCCTCTCCACCAATGCTGAGACACTCACTCTGAGGGGAACTCGCCCCGTGGACTGGGGAGTCTCAGGCAGCATGTGGGGGAGCCACAATTCTGGCCCTGTCCGCATTTGGATGAGGCATCCGCAGCAGTCTCCTGCGGGTACCTGACCAGATTCCCTGGCCTGCCAGCTCTCAGTTCCTGCCCTCAGACACCATGAGTGATCACCAGTGTATATTATTCAAGTTGCTAAATTTCAGGCTGATTTGTTACACACCACAGATAACCGATAAGGAAGCACGGCCTGCAAAAACAAGTCTGAGAGCCAGAGGAAGATGCAGTAGTGACCAGAAACATTTGATTCCATAAGTTTGACTCCAGTCACCACTGTGAGGTTACAAAACAAGAAGTACCATGAAAGGCCCCATGAATGCCTATGTGCAAGAGCCCACACCATGTGGCAGGAATGTGCCCGGCTGTGGACCGTGCTCCCTCTCTGGGCCCTCAGGCAACCAGAACATGTCCAGGGCCCCTCCTCCTGCGGGGCCTGCAGGGGCCCCTGGGAAGACACAGGGCCTGGAGCATGGTCTCATCTGAGATGAGGTGAACTCAAGCTGTCCCAAGCTCTAACACCAGAAAGAGAGGAGGGAATGGTTGACAACATGCCTCCTCCAACCTCGGAACGCTGCTGCAGGACCTGTCCAGCTTCCAGCGGCTGCCCTGACCACCTGAATGACTCGGAAGCTCTCACAGTCTCTCGGCTCTGGCCGCTTCTCAGGTTCCACAGGCCTTCAGATCAGAAGAGCGCCAGTGGGGGTCCACATGGAGGGGCTGCTGGGGAGGGACTCTGGGGTAATGAGAGAAGATGATGACCAAAAGCTCAGCACCAGAACTCTCCTCGCCTGAGCCCAAGGCCAAGGCCATGATGGGAAAGGAGGGCAAAGGACAGGAAGGACAGGAGGCCCTTCCAGGGGCCCAGTCAGCAAAAAGACTCACCCAAGATCCCTGAGCAACCAGTGGCCGCATGGCCACCAGCCCGAGGACTGGAAAGTCCAGGCAAGCCTCACCTTGAGCACTCCAGCTCTGAGCGCTCCAGCGGTGTCCCACCCCCAGCAGGGATCACTGTCAATGCCCCACCAGGGCACCTGGTGCCAGCCACCCCAGGACCAAGGCCAAATGAGTGCCTCTCCAGGGGCCTCAAGACCCATGACTTGTCCCTCCACACACAGGAGCATCACCTGGCACTGCAAAGGGGAGAAGCGCCCACACCCGCTTCCACGTGGGCAGACCCTGAGAAGGGTCAGTGAAGGCAGACACAGATGGTCACACAGGGTGTGATTCCACTGATGGGAAACATGCAGAGCAGGCCAATCCAGAGACACAGGGAGTGGGTTCCTGGTGGTCAGGGGCTGGGGAGGGGGGATGCAGGTCCTCTGAGGGGATGAAATGTTCTGGGATTAGATATGATGGCTGCACAGCTCTGTGAATACAGTAATACAGTACAATAAAACCCGCTAAACTGTACACTTGTGGTAGGTGAGCTGTGTGGTGTGAATGTTATCTGGACAAAATAAAAAGGTATTAGTTGCTCAGCTGTGTCCAACTTTTCGCAACCCCATGGACTGTAGCCCGTCAGACTCTTCTGTCCATGGGATTCTCCAGGCAAAAATACTGGAGTGGGCTGCCATTTCCTCCTCCAGGGGATCTTCCCAACCATACATAAAGGAGATTTCATCAATGTGCGTTAGAGGATACCCCAGGTTAACCTGTAACTGTCTCTTGAGCCTTTAAATTCTATACCAATTCTCCACTTCTGGGTGGCCACTTGTTTTGTTTCTTTATTTAGGTTTTAAGGTGAATGACCCGGGGCTATTTGTTTCCATCAACCTGACTTCGAATCTAAAGGCACAGTTGAAATGTCTATTTTTCTTCCTATCCTTAGAAGAAATTGCTGCAAATCTATTCTATGATTCTCATTCTGTTCAGCTTACAATACAGATAGCTTATTATCTTTTGCAACCTATGCCTTATAATAAAGCAGTGCTGAAAAATTAAATAGAAAGTTCAGCTGCCATACAGGCTATGAAAATGATTTGCTGGTGGTGAGTTTTAAGCTTGATTCTAAATAAATTTACTAAGAAGGGCACTTCAAATTTTGCTCTTTAAGGTATCTTGAAATTATAGGCTCACTCTCCCTAAACTTTCAAAAAGCATAGAGCTTAGGACAAAGCTGTTATTAAAAAACACAAAAACCACAAGACCCAGCAAGGCCCCTCCTCCCATGTCCTGCCCCTTCACCTGGCTACACCCAGACCAGGTGTGGGCCCAGCCCCGCCCCTCGGTGGGAGCCTGGCTCAGTCCAAGGGCGAGCCCAGAGCAGACCACAGGGAGCCGCTCACAGACCAGGGAAAACATAATCCACTGTGAACAGGTCCAACACAGCCATGCAACAGGGAAATCCTTCTGGGGAGTCCCCATCCCAAGCCCCCTGACCTTTGCTGTCCCTGAGGAGCAAAGCAGCAGCAGTTCCAGAGGCAGTATTCCTCCACCAGGGGCCGCCCATCCCCCTGCATGGCGCTAACGCACCTTCCGTGCCTCAGCCACGGACCCCATGACTAACGCAGGGGATTCAAACTGCAGCCCATCGGAGACGGCGTCTCCATCCAAGGTCACACACCATGATGCTGGAGCCTCCGACCTCCCCACCCAGCTCAGGGGCGGTAGCTAGGCTGGAAGAGGGCCCTGTCCAACACAGGGGTGCCAAGAACACTGCCCCAGGGCTAATCACCCTTGGGCTAGGCACTGAGACAGTGACCATGGGTGGAGAAAGAGTCAGGGCAGGAAAGAGAAATGCTGGTTGGGAGGGGAGGTCAGGCAGGCGGGCAGCGAGGGAGGCCGTGGAGGACACGGACAAACTCAGGCATGTCCTCCCTGAACATTCTCGGGACCGCCACAGACGCCGGGGGCAGGAGACCCGGCGGCGGGAAGGGCAGGACAGCTTGAAGAGACAGGGAAGGAGCCAAAGAGGCCCCCAGGCACAGTCCTGAGCGAGAGGACGGAATGGACTGTTAGCCCCATGGAGAGACAGGTGCGCAAACTGGGGAGAGCACCAGGACAGAGAAGGGGCAGCGAGAAAGGGGCAGGAGGGGTCTCCCAGGAGACGAGCACCCGCAGACACGGCCAGTCACACCTGCAGGGACTCCAGAACACTGTATCCTGATGAGCCAAGGCCAATGAAACAATACATCGTGCTCAACTTCAAAAGATGTCACCATCAGGAGAAACTGAGAGAAGAGAACATGCGGTGCCTCTGTCTCATTTGTTACAACTGTACAAGAATCTGTGATTACTTCAAAACAAAAAGTTTAACTAAGAAAAAAGGACAGGACTCCCAGAGGAAGACTGGGGCAGGTGGCCCACAGCTCCACCACCTCTTCCCTAGTGAACACCTCAAGTTCCGGTGCCACTGGCTCCTCCCACCAGGAACAGAGTACTCAGCCTGCCTACTCCAGGACACTTGGATGTCAGGGATCAGGGTACAGAAGCTGACAGCCACATGCAGGGTACCAGGCTTTTCCGATGATGCCTTCCTCTCTAAAGTGGTCACCTCACCCATGGAGAGCCGTCAGAGGGTTAACCTGACTTCCACCTGAGCTCACATTAGTCAGCGCTCACTCACGCACACAGAGGTCAGAGCAGAAAATATTTTCTGAGTCATAGGGAGGGATGGCTCAGCCAGCCGCCCACCTCAGCTACTACTCACAGCTGAGTCTGGGGCATGACGGCTCAGCATTCATCAGAGACTCGTGCTTGCGGAGGCAGGCAGGGACAGTCACACTGAGGCTGCTCCACACCCACGGCCACCATGAGTCACTGAGGGGAAGGACTACTGCCCGCCCTCGCAACCTCCGTCCCGGCCACCAGGCACCTGCTCCCTCCTGAGCTGAGACCCAGTTTTCCACCAAGAGAAGGCCCATCCTGCTTTAGCAACACTGCCATAAGCTGCAAGTGGACATCTGGGAACTCTGCGACAGAAGGAACAAAACTAGCCCTGCACCACGCCCTCTTATTTGTCAACTGCACAAAAACCCGTTTCAGAAGCTGGACATTTCCGAATGTGGAAGATTGTGGCTGTTTGCACTTCCTCCTGTGGGTGCCCCCTCTTCGGAGAAGCCACTCACCCTCCCTCAGCCCCACCCTCCAGTACCTCATCCCCAGGGCACTACACCTCCATTGCCCCTCTGGGTTTATAGACCACCAACCAACCCTTGTTCATAAGTTTCCGGAGAGCAAGAACACTGTGTACTGTGCTCCGCTCCCCCTCGAACACTGGAGATATCCAGGAGGTGCTTGCAGGATGAATGAATGAATCAATGCAACAAGCAAGCTCAGTCTTTTCGAACCTGTGGTCACATGAGTAATTTGACCTTTGGAAAGGCTATGCTCCTGGAAGTGGCCCATTTTCTTAATGTACTCATCATCGAGTCATCACAAAATATGAACTCTTATAATAAAAGTTCTGCCCCCTCACTTCCTGTGAGAAAGCAAAATCCCCCAGAGGGGACATGGGACGGGAGCAGACGTCACCGCACTGCTTTAGGAAGGTTGCAACTTGCTGACCATGGCACAGCCCCCCCGACTGCCTGGTTTTGGGACTGCCACCCCAGGAATGGCTGCTGAGCTCAGATGGAGTGCCCAGCCAGGCAGGCAGCACACCCTGAATCCTGCCAAGTGAGGTCCTGCCAGAAAGGGAAAGACGCTCTCTAGTTCAGACCCGCCCACCACTGGAAAGCCAGCTCCCGCTGGGACCTGGACACACACGATGTCTTTCTGACAAAGGTTACAGACCTCTGTATATTGTCACCCTGCTTATTTAACTTACATGCAGAGTACATCATGAGAAACGCTGGGCTGGATGAAGCACAAGCTGGAATCAAGATTGCCGGGAGAAATATCAATAACCTCAGATATGCAGATGACACCACCCTTATGGCATAAAATGAAGAAGAACTAAAGAGCCTCTTGATGAAAGTGAAAGACAGTGGAAAAGTTGGCTTAAAGCTTAACATTCAGAAAACTAAGATTACGGCATCCAGTCCCATCACTTCATGGCAAATAGATGGGGAAACAGTGGAAACAGTAGCAGACTTTATTTTGGGGGGCTCCAAAATCACTGCAGATGGTGACCACAGCCATGAAATTAAAAGACACTTACTCTTTGGAAGGAAAGTTATGACCAACCTAGACAGCATATTGAAAAGCAGAGACATTTAAAAAAAAAAAAGCAGAGACATTACTTTGCCAACAAAGGTCTGTCTAGTCAAGGCTATGGTTTTTCCAGTAGTCATGTATGGATGTGACAGCTGGACTTTATTATAAAGAAAGCTGAGCACTGAAGAATTGATGCTTTTGAACTGTGGTGTTGGAGAAGACTCTATTTAGAGTCCCTTGGACTGCAAGGAGATGCAACCAGTCAATCCTAAAGGAAATGAGTCCTAAATATTCACTGGAAGGACTCATGTTGAAGCTGAAACTCCAATACTTTGGCCACCTGATGCGAAGAGCTGACTCATTTGAAAAGACTCTGAAGCTGGGAAAGATTGAAGGCAGGAAGAGAAGGGGAAGACAGAGGATGAGGTGGTTGGATGGCATCACCGACTCAATGGACATGAGTTTGAGTAAACTCGGGGAGTTGGTGATAGACAGGGAGGCCTGGCGTGCTGCAATCCATGGGGTCGCAAAGAGTCGGACATGACTGAGCGACTGAACTGAACTGAACAGGCCTCTGTGGCCTTGATGGTGATGGCAACAGTGGGACCATCTCCAGATGAACCTTCATCTTAGTTTCAGGTGCTTCAGTGCTGGGTCACAGTGGATTTCTAAATTCTCCTGATACTCAAAATACCAATTTTGGAAAAATACCAATTTCTGAGATGCAGGAATGTTGTTAAACAGATATTCAGCACAGACCCCAGTCTGACTCCCAGAGTGTTCTCCCAAGTGAGGTGAAAATCCAAGTTCACCTGCCCTGGGCTGTTCAGCTGCTCTATTCCTGATCGTCTCAAAACTGCACAGCAGGGAAAAGGAGTGACTTCTCACACCCTCAACAACGGGCATGAATCTCACACACATTTTGCTGAGCCAAAGCAGCCAGAGTCAAAAAGCTACACATCGTTGACTCCATTTACTTGACTTTCCAGAAAAGCCAAAACCTTAGGGACGGAGATGAGACTGGTGGCCAGGAAGCAAGAGACGAGTTTATGCCAAAGGGCAGCAGATGGTTTGATGGGATTGTTCTGCTGCCTGACTGCAATGATCTGTCAAATACTCTAGAACTGTGAGCTACAAGTGAACCACACTCCATGTCTACTGAGGATAAACAAATTACATTTTGAAAAATGTGCCGGCCAACGTACTGGTACAAGACGAGTGCAGTAACGGGGGCAGAGAGGGAGGCAGGTGGATCAACTGGAGTTTTGAAGGTTCTCCCCACTTTCAGTTTCCGTCCCCTGGGTCGTCTCCCCGCCCTGCCCACTGCTCAGGCCGCGCGCCAGGGCGACACAGAGCTACCCAACCGGAAAAGCCAGAGCCCGGGCTCAGCCGCGCCTCCGGGCGCAGGAAGCGCAAAAATAGAAAGCGCCGGTGCGCTCGGCGGGCTGGAAAGCCTCCGACCTCGGAGAACCGCGGAGCACCAGGGCCAGGAGCCAACGTCGGCTCCCGGGCGGTCCCAGCGTCCCGACCCCGCCCCTGGCCGCGACAGTTTCCAAAAACTGACACACACGGAGCCCGCGCGAGGGGCGGGGCGCGCGGGCTTCCCCGCCGGGTCCCGTGGAGGCCGGTCCCCCCACAAGCCGAGCGCGCGAAAGGGCGCCCCAAAAGCGCCCGCCCACCGCGCCCGCTGTGCTTTCCCTCCCGAAGGCGCGCTGCCCAGCCGGAGCGCGGTCCCTGGGACACGGACACGCGCACCCACGCCGCCACCGGGGACAGGAGCCGGGGCGCCCACCCCGCGCCCTGCATGTGTGGAATCACCCGGACGCCTGTGTAAATTTCCGTTCGGCCTGTCAATTTTCCAAAGGCCACACAAGATCAGGGAACAGGACGCCTCCTTTCCAAAGGTCCGGCCAGCCCACCCACTCAAATTAGGGAACATGACGCGTCCTTGCCAAGGGTCCGGCCAGCCCACCCAAGATTCGGGAACAGGACGCTTCCTTTCCAAAGCTCTAGCCAGTCCTGCCACTCAAAATTAGAGAGACAAAATGCCTAATTTACAAAATTAACAACTGGAAAGAAGGAGGAAAGGGTTTCCTCAAAAATAAAAAAGCTGAGCACGGTGACAGCGCCAAGAATAAACTACCAGCAAAGAGAAACCCCACACGTCAAATCATAAAGTACGGAAAGGCAAGCCCGCCGGCCGTTCAGGCCCGGGGAACGGGGGGTCCCCAGCCCCGCAGGACCAACGGCAGCCCGGCTCGGGCGCCCCTCGGAGGCGCAGGGTCCCCGCGGCCCAGTCTGCGCCCTCGGCCGGCCCAGGTTCCCCGCTGCCCACTCTGCGCGCGGGGCTTGGAAACGGCCGCCGGGAATCCGGCGGGGCGGGAATGGGGGGTCCCGGGGAAGGTTGGGGGCTCGAGTCGCTCGGTTTCTCGGTGGGCCCACCACGCGCAGCGGGGACTGGGGGGTGGGGGTCTGGGGAGAAGGGGTTAAGGGAAGAGAGGGGCGGCACTCACGTAGACCGGCAGCGGCCATGGGTAGACGGCGGGCTCGGCCCCCACGGGCGACTTGAGCCTCAGCTCCAGCTTCTCCCCCATGTCGGCGCGCACGGCCGCCGCACCATGCTAGTCGGGCGGTTGGGGGAGGGGCGGGGCCCCGCCGTCGGGGGCGGGGCGGACGGGCGGAGGAGGGCGGGCGGGAGGCTGAGGGGAGGGGGCCTGGCCTGGGCCTCAGCCGCCGCCACCGCGCTCCCGTCCAGCCCCCGGCTCCCTCTTTGTGGTCACAGGCCCGGAGCCTCCAGCGCCGCCGCCATCTTGGGCCGGCGTGAGACGAGCACAATGAGCCGGGGGCCGGGCTGAACCACTCGCGGCGCGCGCGCGGGGGGGCCTGGGCGCGAGGAGGCGGTGCGCTCCCGCTGCCCCGCCCGCCGCGCCTCGTGCGCCCCCCCCGCCGGCCCGCCCCGTGGGCTCTCCCGCTCCCACGCACCACGCACGCACGCACGCACGTCCTCGGCTGCCCTCGGCTGCCCCCACCAGCCCCAAGCGGGAACCCGGGGAGACCCCGGGAGGCCTGAGATGTAGGGTTCGAAACCCGCTCTTGGCTGACAGGAACACCCTCCCCCCCCCATAATAAAAGTATAATTTCTTATTAAAGGTGACCGGCACAGACCCAGTTTCTGGTCACAAGAATGCCATGTATTTAGCCTATTGTTGTTCAGTCGGTAAGTTGTATCCAACTTTTTGTGACCCCATGGACTGCAGCACGCCAGGCTCCTGTATCCTCCACTAACCCCCCAAATTTGCTCAAATTCATGTCAGTGAATTGAGTCAGTGATGCTATCTAACCGTCTCATCCTCTGCCACCCCCTTCTCCTTTTGCCCTCAATCTTTCACAGCATCAGGGTCTTTTCCAGTGAGTGTTCTTTTCCCGTCAAGTAGCGAAAGTATTAGAGGTTAAGCTTCAGGATCAGTCTTTCCAGTGAATATTCAGGGTTGATTTCCTTTAGGATTGACCGGTTTGTCTTTTCAATCTGGAGGGACTCTCAAGAGTCTTCAGCACCATAGTTCAAAAGCATCAATTCTTTGGTGCTTGGGCTTCTTTATGGTCCAAATCTCACATCCATACGTGACTACTGGAAAAAACAGCTTTGACTATATATGGACCATTGTTGGCAAAGTGATGTCTCTGTTTCTTAATATGCTGTCTAGGTTTGTCATAGTATCCTTCCAAGAAGCAAGGATTTTTTAATTTCGTGGTTGCAGTCACCATCTGCAGTGATTTTGTATGTGTGTGCTTAATCATGTCCAACTCTTTGCGACTCCATGGACAGAGCCCACCAGGCCCCTCTGTCCATGGGATTTCCCAGCAAGAATACTGGAGTGGGTTTCCATTTCCTCCTCCAGGGGATCTTCTCAATTCAGTGATCAAATACGCATCTCCTGTGTCTCCTGCCCTGGAAGGTGGATTCTTTACCACTGAGCCACCTGGGAAGCCTACAGTGAGAAAATGAAATCTGTCACTGCTTCCTTTTTTCCCCATTTATTTGCCATTAAGTGGTGGGACCAGATGCTGTGATCTTAGTTTTCCGAATGTTGAGTTTCAAGTCAACTTTTTTTTTTCAAGTCAACTTTTTAATTCTCCTCTTTCACCCTCACTAAGAGGCTCTTTAGTTCCTCCTCATTTTCTGCCATTTGAGTGGTATCATCTGCATATCTAAGGTTGTTGATATTTCTCCCAGCAATCTTGATTCCATCTTGTGATTCATCTAGCCCAGCATTTCACATGATGTACTCTGTATAGACCACAGGAGGGCACGGCAACCCACTCCAGTGTTCTTGCCTGGAGAACCCCCATGGATGTAGGAACCTGGCGGGCTACAGTCCATGGGGCAACAAAGAGTTGAACATGGCTGAAGGTACTTCGCATGCATGCACACTGCATAGAAGTTAAATAAGCAAGGCGACAATATACAGCCTTGTCATACTGTATATAAACTATATATGTACAGGTGTGTATGTATGTTATATACCTGTATATGTATATGTTGTATAGGTATTGTATGTATATATGTGTATATACTATGTATATGGCTTCCACCTGGCAGGCTGCAGTCCATGGGGTCACAGAGAGTCGGACACGATTGAGCAACCATGCCTACATACTGGTGGCTCAGTGGTAAAAAAATCTGCCTGCCATCAGGAGACAAGGGTTCAATCCCTGGGTGGGAAAGATTCCCTGAAGAAAGAAATTTCCCAGTTTTCTTTCCTGGGAAATCCCATGGATGGAGGAGCCTGGCAGGCTACAGTCCTTGGATTTTCAAAAGAGTTGGACACAACTTAGCGACTAAACAACATGCATGCATACACACACACACACACACACACACACACACACATATATATAGTATATATACACACACCTATATATCTTTGTATGTGTGGATGCATACACATGGAGAAGAGAAGGGGGTGACAGAAGATGAGATGGTTGGATGGCATCACTGACTCAATGGACATGAGTTTGAGCAAACTCAGGGAGATAGTGAAGGACAGGGAATCCTGGCATGCTGCAGTTCATACAGTTGCAAAGAGTCATACGTGACTTAGTGACTGAACAACAACAAATTGTATATATTATATGTATATATGTGTGTTTATATACTGCATATATATAAACTTTTATATGTGTGTATTTATGTGCATTACATTGTATATATTATAGATGTATATGTCTATATACATACACCTATGTGTACACGCCTATATATTTTTGTATGCATGTATATATGTATGTGGGGGCTTCCCTGGTGGCTCAGATGGTAAAGAATCTGCCTCCAATGCAGGAGACCTGAGTTCTATCCCCTGGCTTGGGAAGATCCCCTGGAGGAGGGAATGGCTACCATTCTAGTATTCTTGCCTGGAGAATCCCATAGACAGAGCTGAAGTTGGTAGAGTCGCAAAGAGTTGGGCACAACTGAGCAACTTAACACAATATATGTATGTATGTGTGTGTATATACACACCCAGTGGATCCTGTTTGTCTGGAGAACCCTCACTGACACAGACCCTTATGACAGTTGAGCACCTGCTCTGTGCCAGCCAGGAAGCTCGATGCTTGTGCATTACAAGTCCCCTTTAGTGTTACAAGTCCCCAGGCGAGGTGTCTTGGGGTCAGAGAAGTGCACAGGGCACTGGCAGGCGGGCTGGCTGGAGCTCACTTGGAGTTCCAACTGTCCTAACAGCAGTACAGCCCCACAGTCCCGCACCCTCGGGTGCTGCTCACAAGGATGTGGAGGGAGAGACAGGATCTGCAGGAAGGTATAGGGAAGCTTCTGAAGGTCCTTCTGGAGCCCCAGATGGAGGCTGGATCCCCAAGGGTGTTCTTGGTGAGGACTGTGGGTGGGGGTTACACAGAATCACTCACTTGAAAAAAATATCCATTCTGCCCTTGTCTGTATGTTTATCCTCCAAAATCTTTTAAAAATGGATGCCCTGGTTGCTGGGAACACACCCACCAAAGTTGTGTGTCTGTGTTGTAAGGGGACCCAGCAGGAGGACTCAGAAATGGATGAGCCCCCCCACTCACAGGGCTGAAGGACTTGAGCTAAGGATAGCCAGCAAGGTCCTGGAGAGAAGGGTCCCTGCTCTGGGCACCCTCTTCCCAGCCCAAGATGCCCAGAGCCACCACCTTAACCACACCACAGAGGAGAGCCAGTCACTGTGGCTCCCAGGCTCCCTGCACTAGGAGCTATTTTAAGCTTGCATCCCGCAGGACATAGCTAGAGAGAGCTGTTGTCTACAGAAAATCTCTGTCTCTTCCCGCTCCCTTACCTCTCAGCTTCTTCCCCTTCCCCCTTAGCTGTCACCAACCCCATTTCTGCAGAGACCTCCAGGGTCCTCTGAGACCCTGATTCAGGCACCAGCCACAGGATAGCTCTGAGAACCCTCGCAAGCTGAAAACCCTAGCCCCTCCCTGTGCCCACGCCCACCATCTGATAGATGTCAAAGCAAGCCCTAGTCAGGTATGACCTTGGGCCCAGGGATATTGGCACATGCTGTCAGTGGTGCCATTTTCTTCCTTAGACTCCTCCCTCCCTCCTGTGTTACTGTCACTTCCTCCAGAACCTTCTCAGACTCTCCTACATTAGGCTGGGCTCAGGGTGTGCCCTCACCTACCCGTTGTTGCTGTTCAGTCTAGTCACATTTGACTCTTTGCGACCCCATAGACTGCAGCTTGCCAGGCTTCCCTTTCCTTCACTATCTCCCTGAGTTTGCTCAAACTCATGTCCATTGAGTCAGTGATACCATCCAATCATCTCATCCTGTGTCACCCCCTTCTCCTCTTGCCCTCAACTTTTCCCAGCATCAGGGACTTTTCCAAAGAATCAACTCTTTGCATCAGGTGGCCAAAGTATTACAGCTTCAGCTTCAGCATCAGTCCTTCCAAATATTGAAGTTGGAATTGTTATCATGGTTTGGTTGGGTGGCCAATCCCCCACCCCCAGTTTGCCCCAGACCACCCAAGTTTTAGTGCTGGAATTCTGGGAAGACCCTCAGTCCCAGGGAACCCTGGAGGGGGCTAATCAGCCTATTGAGGACAGACCTCTTACTTGATCTCCCAACCCCTGAAGATCAGAAAGGGAACCCTCCTCTACCTTCCTATATGGTAATCTTCATTTATTCATCCATTCATCCTTGTCTTCAACCCCTTTATTCAGCAAGTATTTACCAAGTACCTAATGAAATGGGAATCCAAGTTCTTGTTCATGGAGGTGAAGAATGAGTTAAGAAAGTACAAAGACCTTAGCATAAACACTGAGAGGTGGTAAAGAGTCCCCCAGAAGAGGAAGATTATAGCACTTTTGTATGTTTACCAATATTAATCTGTACGTTTTTAATTGGCTCCTGTCCTTAAAATACATCACTTCTAACCAATCAGTTTAAAGGTCACATTGTTTAATTTAACATCTTTATGGTTCCTCTTGATCCTTGATTAAGTCACCACCCTTTTTCACGTCCCCTGGCCATTTTGCAATGGACCACCTTATGGGATTAAGATTAATGATCACCAGTTGTTTTTCCCTCAGGCACATGGGACAGACATTAATTA